GGCAACTGAAAGGGTAACAAGCATGACCTCATTTACCACTACACAAGTGCAACTTCACATTGCACCCTTGCACAATGATCAAAGGTTTATTGCGGTGTCTTAACACAGGTCAGTGCAGCATTCAATTTTAAAAACTCTCCTGGGTTCGAAAATCTTAAAACTTTGTGCAGGTTTGACTTACCACTTGCATGGCAATTTATTTACTTTTGATTGCTATAATCAAGTGATAAAAATAAAAGGCCTATTTGATAACTTACTGTCAGTTCTATTTGTGGGTCACAAAAGAACCAATTTTATAGTTTCAAATTGGCTCGAGTGTTTGGATTTGAGTACAGTGACAGATGGACTAGGAAAAAAGCGATAACAGTGCTTCGAACTAAAAATGGAACATATATGCAACAGTATCAAGAACATATAACAGGAAGTAAGCATCCTTAAATCAAAAAAAAAACTGAGTTGTTAAGAAAGATGAAAAATAAGTTATTTTTACAATCCAGTTAGTCAATTTGGACATTGTATTAATATTGCTATCTTATTGTTTGTACTGCACACATTGATTTACAATTGTAAGACAAGCAAAACTCCTTTGAATGTGTAATTTATAGAAATTGCAAAGATCTAACTAAAACCTAGGTTAGGTATGTCGCTATATGGTTACATAGCGGCACTTTTACAAAATATTATGCATAATAATTTCAAGCACAAAAATACCATGGATTCAAAAACCAATATTATTAACTCATCCTAATATTAGTCATAGCTACATTTTCCAATTTTGCTTTCAATTTAAAGGATTAACACAATCAAAAGGAGCTCATAAGCTTCTTACATCATTTTGAATTTAAAGAACTTCACAGCCACACATTTCACGGAACATTCATGCAAACATTTCAAAGATAATATTTTTTTCTACATCAGATGCATTCAAATTGCAACTGAAAAATATCTGAATTTAATGCATGCTACGGGGGGAAAAATGACAAATGTAAAATTTATTATGATAAACTGATGTAATATATGCACATGCTTTAAGCATTTAGGGGCATTTGATGCTACATGTAAACAACCAACCAATATTAAACCAAATTTTACATGCTGCATACACTCCAGAATGCTTTCAAGTGCCAACTCAAATCCTAAGTCCAGTTCACCTTGGCTACTGCAAGTGTTATCATCAGCTCCAGCACATGATTATGTTTATAACCTACTCAACTGCTATAAATAAGTGCTAAAAAATGTACCACCTACTTATACATAGTGCATTTTGAAGCACGGCTACATGGTGCTCTGAAAGAGTTGGAATGTAGGCCTGATCCACTCCACCCTGAGCTGACTTGCTTAAAGTCAGTATCAGAAGACTGTCACTTACATGTAGAGCAAGGTGCAAGCTGAAAATATCATATCTTTGAAGACCATTGCAAAAGAGGGAGAAAATCTGAGCCTGCTTGTCCTATATTAGGTGCTACATTCCTTGAAATCCAAAAGTAAGAGGAATTTTGTATTGCTGTACTGCATACATTTAAACAGCCAGGGTGTTGCTGGTGATCATTAAATTTGAAATAAGTCTGTAATTTTTCTTTTAACAGAAAAAAAAATCTGTCTTGACATTTAAAAGAAAATCAGGAGCACATTTGAGCAATAAAACTTGCAGCATCAAGATTCTAATTACCACTCCAATGCATGTAAATTTGATAAAATATTTCCAAAAAAATCATATAACTTTAGGTCTTGTACTCACTGCCTTTCTTACCTTCAAATTCACCTGAAAATACATAAAAACAGCTATCTATAAAGCCAAATATTTAGAGGGCACAACATACCTAAATGACCTTTAAACTAACTCCATTACAAGCAAAAAATGCAACATCTTTAGAAGACGCAATAGCTCAATCCATAAAATTATACAAATAGCCAATTAACCAATTTTCCTTGTGCAAGTCATGACTATCATTATTTTTAACAATATGCTTTACTATAACAGCCAGAGTATGCACACTCATAGTAAAAAGTGCCTCATCCCTTCTTCTACGCACTTTAATTTTTAGTAAACAATATCAAAAAAGGAACTGGTTCCCAGAACATGGAAGCAGTAAAGCATGGCATCACAATATCTAGTATAATGTTGCCAGCAACAACAACTATATTCTCCTACCAGTAGAGGAGATGTTCAGTTCTATTGTATGTAACTTTATATAGCTAGACTTAAATAGCACATTTCTGGAAAATCCTCAAGGTGAAACTTCCCAATAAAACTACAACTATTCATGATTTTAAACAAAACTATTCTCCAAATTCTGGCATCTAACAATGACCAAGATGTTACAAATGTACTATTTAGTCACCTACCCTGAAGAAAGACAGCACTTCACAATATACTTATAAACCTGAAAGTTTCTTACTATTTATTTGCCTTCTTTAAACCTTTGTTGTTCCTTTTAGTCTGTAAAGCTCACATACTTCTCAGATTGACAGGCAACTGGAAAGTCTGCAGAAAATTCTGCACAAGTTGGAGAACTGAATAATACTTGTCTAGTTTCAGTTGTTGATATCAGTTAGTAAAATGGAAAAATAACCAAATTGGTGTAACCACTAGACTGTACTACCTACAGTTTCAGCACAATTTGCTTATCTGAATGATCTGATCAACTATCTGTTCATCCCTCCCTCAACTCCAGTCTCCATACTAGACTATAGCTGTTTTTGCCCTAAGTCTCTTTGTCATGCTGCAACTTGTCTCACCACTTTCAAAGCCTTCTCAAAATTTCTATCTTCAAACTTTTCTACCAAATCTCTAATTTTAGCAAAGTGTCCTTCTCCTTTTCTCTTTTCCCTTTCTGTGGAGTACTGTGGTACATTAAGATAGCAAAAGACGTCTCTCTCTCTCACATATACACAAAGACACACACACACACTCATTTTGTTAAGCTTACCATAGAAGTGTCCAAATCCCATGCTAAAAGCAATAACCAGTGCAAGTAAAATGCATTTATTCAGAGTGGTATTGAAGCGATGTTGCTGCTGCTGCTGTTCACCATCCACCACCTCCTCACCAGGTTTCTCCTCAGTTTCAGAGGAAGACATTGTTTTTTTCCTAATACGCCGTCTTCGCAGTGTAGGGCTCGATTTACCACTGTTTTCATCACTACTCGATTCACCTCTGCTTTCTTCAACTGTAGACACTGAAAAAGATTTTTTACGGCATTATATAATAGGCATCAATGCAATATTCTTCCTGAGGTAAATATCAAATTATTACACGGTGCAGTGAAATAATTTATGAAGCTCTAAAAAGGAATAAAAACTCTATTTCCAGATTTGCTGGTAGATTCCTATCCAAGTTCTATCCTATGAAGTGTGAGGCAAGATCCTAGAAAATAGATTGGATTTGGTTGCCATGTCCCTTATCCACAATGAAATAACCCTAGAATGGAGAAGCTACGGCTATTCTCCGAATGCAAGAGAAGATTAAGAGATGTTTAAAGTCAGAAAGCAGAGTTAGAGAGTGAAATTCCTCCCATTAACAGAAATATCAAAGGTGGTGATTGGTAAAAGAAGCACCAGTGACATGATGAAACCTTATTTTTATAGATGAAGTGGTTAGGATTGGGATTGCACAGAGGTATAGTAGAGGATTCAAGAGAATTAGATAATTACTTGCCCAGAAGAAAGTTGTAGGGGCATGAGGAAAAAGGAAAGCATGAGTGGACTGAACTAAGTTGTTCGTTCAGAAACCTGCCAAGGGCTCAACAGGTTGAATATCCTTAAATACTAGAAATGTTTTATGATTCCGCGGTTGTACAATACTGGACAACTGATCTACTTTTTTCAAAACTGAAGTCAGTCACACACAACACAAACATTGAAATGTCAAATGCAAGAGAAGAAATTACATTTATACTTGGCAATTCAATTAAAAATTGGATAAGCAAGGCAAACAAATTAGCACATCAGTGTGTTTTAAGCAATACATCTGTCAAGCTGGCCAAGATAAAGAACATCCTTCCTTTTCCAGAGGTTTTACACAATACTGAAGAAAAACAAAGCAACACTATTCAGTTCAGTTAAGAACTTACATTACTAAGATTTTATCATTAGCAAACTAGTTCAAGTCACTTTATCAGTTTAGAGTAATAGACATTGAGTAGGTTGGATGAAGTGGACAAAGGAAATGGTCAAAAGGATAGGATTTTAAGGAGCATTTGAAGATAGATAGAGGTATCACAAGCTGAATGAATTAAAAATATGGCTTCCAGAATGCAAAACATGACAGCAAATGTCTGTGCTACTACTGGTGGGAAGAAATATGCACCTTTAGTTAGAATTTATAAGCGCAAAATAAGACTGAACTAGAACAAAGAAACAGTAATGATACATAAACCAGTGTGGTAAACAAATTAAAAGCAAAAAGAAAAGTGACTGAATAGAGTGTGGGAATGAGAAATGTTACAAATATTCTGGAAGTAAAGATATATTTCTGGTACATACATAGCAAGTCTGAAAGCACAAAGAAGAAAGGGTCAGCTATTTCAGGAAAGATGAGGAGAAATTTCAAAGGATTGAGAGTCTTTGGAATTCTCTACTCCAGAGGCCTGTGAATGCTCAGTTGTTGAGACTGAAATATGTTTGAGCTCCAAGGGAATCAGGGATCAGAAAGTAAAGTGGGGCTGAGATCTCAGATCAGCCTTGATCTTATTAAATAGTAGAACATGCATGAGGGGACATATGACCTGTTTGTTTTCTTATACATATCCAACAAATTCCATTTGAAAATGTTACATAGGGTTCAGAACAAATGAAGTCACATTGGCTTGAACACAAATGGAAATAGAAATAGATAGCTGTTTAATTTTGTGTCCAAAAAAAAAAATCACAGCTTTAAAATAACACTTGTATCTCCAACTGACTTTCTTTGAACAAACATAAGGCAAACAGTGGTCTCGGAAATACTTTCAAAGCTTTGGAGTTGTCAGAAAATCAACATCTGAAAAGTACTGATATGGTCTGCTGCAACATTTTATTTCATTGCATGGTTTGGAGAAACGCCCTCTTCATATTTTGCACGGGAGACAAAATAAGTTATAAAAGCAAATGCTGAATATGAGTACCAATAACTACAGTTGTTTAAAGGTTGAAATTAAGATACACTAATGAAGCAATTAATGTAATGTTAGTGTGCATCCACGTTATTCCCAAGGATTGGCTGTGAACCAGCTGGAACACACTTTTTCCACTTGAACTCAATCCTCCCCAATGATTAGATAAAATTCTCTCGCCTTTATTTGCTTTTTTGGTTCAGAGTGAAATTACCTCAGCCAGGTCTGAATGGATTTTGTTGTTTTGGGGTGGTATTTAATAGAGGCAACAGGTCTCACCCATTAACTTGAGAGCCAGCATGCATTGCCTCATCTAAAGGCAACCCACCAAATCAAGCGTCACTGAGGCACTTAGCTGGACAGGAATGAGTCTTTCCTCGGTTCAAGGGCGCTAGGGACAAAAGCCCCACCCAATTGGGGGTGAGCACCTCTATCCAGCATCATGAAGGAGGCAATGGTTGCTGCCAGAATAGTACCCACTAAGGTCTAGTATCATTATGAAACCCAGGCCACAAGTAGATTATATTATTCCCTGCATAATATGTTTTCTTACTCCTTCATTCACAGTACAGCTAAAAATCATTCATAATTTTTGAACAGGCAAATATAAATAAAATGCAAAGCAATTTGCAGGTTAAAATACCAAGCACTGGGCTCAGTTTAAAAAAAAAGAAACATAAACAACAGGCCTATGAATCACTCTTAAGTCACCCTACATAAGTAAAGCCTACTGGTTCAGTTTGATCACACCACTTGGGAAAATCAAATTGCCAGACAGATGCTCTTTCAGCCACTCAACTCTTTCACATGTTCCAGAATCTTCCAAACCTACTTCTGCATACTTTATTTCAATCATTTTCTTTAAAACAAAAACACCCACTTTCCTAAACTGCACACCAAACATCAATTTCACTTTTAAAGAAGATGTGTTATTTTTAACTATGACATATTTGGGAAGATCACAAGTCTCTTTACTTTAGGAGCTCAGAGATCACAATAGAAATATAGGGCTGAAATCGACCAAAAATTGGTTAAGTGCCAATTTTAGGGAGTTTCATGGAGGGGATCCTTTTATGATCCCTAGGAACTTTTCTCAAGCAACTCTGCACTTTTCACCTTATTAAGTAGGCAATATGCGCCCTGGCATCACTCTCACAATTCTTGCACTCAGCAGCAGCAAAATGCTTTCTGGTGGTAGGACGTTCCAATATTCATGCCATGTGTGCCACACTTAAACCCTAGTGGCACAATGTGTCAAACGCTGCCAGCCTGGTCTGAAATAGACACCTATGTCTGAACAGTGTAGCGCAAGGATAAGGGGCAACATACAATAGGCTGGTCAGCTGCTGCGGCCAGATACACAGAGACTTGTATCAAGAATTGTTGCTGCCTATTTCTCTCCACTGCCTAGGAAATAGCAATTTCCATATAAACGATACAAGATTAGGTCATAATAAGATGTCTATGCATGCAAAAAGGCCTCTGCTCACTCACTAGGGAGATTTTCATCTAGCCATTAAAAGCTTGGATGGAAAATGGGACACCTTTTTCTTGATGCTGAGAATTTCATTTTTCAATTGTCACCATAGTTTCCCAACTGACTTGCCACTCCCCATTGTACCAAGCCTGGGAAAGTTCAGCCCAGAGAGTCACAACTGTAGTGCAACACTAGACAAAAGTCACGTCAATCTGTAACCCTCAAACTTTTGAATGCAAATGGAAGTCTACCAACATAACTAGAGGACGCAGGGCTACAAGTGACTCGAGTGGCGACCCAGGAAAACAGGAGAAAAAACAATGACCTGCATTGAGTTCAGCTGTGTGGGTGAAGGACAACAAGAATGTCATGCATATGGAGCTCATCGATCTTGGATATAGAGTTTTCAGGCATTTTAGAGAAGGTAACAAGGGTGGGGTGTAGCATTGTTTGCTAACAAATCAATTACAGCAGTGAGGACGGGTGATATACTAAATGAAGCATAAAATGTGGCCTTACAGGTTGAGCTCAGAAAAGGGGCAGCCACACTGCTAGACACGTACAGTAGACTCCAAAATAGTGGGAGAGAGTTAAAGGAGCAAATACGTAAGCAAATTTCTGAGTGCAAAATCAATAAAGGCAATAATAGTTGGGGGCTGGTCAAAATCCTGGAATACCCTCCTTGATGACATTGTGGATCACCCTACAGCACATGGACTTCAGCTCAACAGCTCAACACCATCTTCTCAAGGGCAACTAGGGACAGACAATAATTGCTGGCCAGCCAGCGACGCCCACGTCCCACGAGTGAAAATTAAAGAAAAAGTGAGTTAAGCCCATATCGACTGGGATAGAGGCAGTGTGAAATTCTTGAATTACATTCAAGAGAACTTTTTAAACTCGCACATAAACTCAATAAGAAAGGGCCCAATTCCACATTTAGCCATTGGAAATTAAGTTGGACAGATAGACGAAACAGCAATGGGTGACCATCTTGGAGGTAGTGATCATAATAGAGTTAGATTCAGCATCATTAAGGAAAGTGACAAAGACAGAACAGGAGTAAATTGTGGTAAGGCAAATTTTACAAAGCTGAGAGATAATATGGCAAAAGTTAACTAGGTGCAGCTACTTAAAAGGAGAATCATTTGAAAAATCAGTTGGAGACATTAAAAACCTAGATTCTATGTCCACCCAAAGAAAAAGGGTGGTACTGCCAAATCTAGAACCACCTAGCTATCCAGAATCATTCAAGGACAAGGTAAAGCAGAAAAACAGATGTACAGAGGTGAAGTGAAAAAGGAAATTAGGGTACTGGATGTAAAATTCTTGAAAATACTTTTTAACATGAAAAGTATAGAAAAATGTTTTATCAATATATTAAGAGGAAGAGGATGGCAAAGGAAAGAGTTTTGCCTGTCGGCGATATACATGATAACTTGTGTTTAGATGCAGAAGCTGTTCACAGAATCACGGGTGATACCGCCCATTTTGCCTGCACCTGCTCTTCAAATGACCATCAACATGTGATGCAAATCTCCTGTCTTTTCCCTTGATCCTTGCACACTATTTCTATCCAAATAATCATCCAATGTCCTCTTGAATGGCTCAACTGAACCTTCCTCCGACATAATTCCAATCAGTACATTCCATACCCTAATAATTACTTGCTGTGTGAAAATGTTTTTTTCTCACATCACCCTTGGTTCTTTTGCAGATCATCTTAATTCAATGCCTCCCATTCTTGTTCCTTTCATGAGCAAGAACATCTTCTTCTTAGCTACTCTATCCAGCCTGCTCATGATTCTGAAAACCTCTATCAAGTCTCTGCTCAGTCTTCTGCTCTCCAAGGAAAACAGTCTCAACTTCTTCAATCTGTCCTCACAACTGAAGTTTCTCAATCCTTGAACCAGTCTTATAAGTCACTTCCGTCAACTCTCAGCAATGCATTCACATCCTTCCTATAATACGGCACCCACAAATGTACACAATTCTCCAGCTGAGTTCTAACAAGTGTCTAATGCAAGTTCAATATCACCTCCTTGCTCCTGTACTTTATGCCATTATTAAAGCCAAGGATACTGTATGCTTTATTAACTGCTCTGTTCACCTGTTCTCCCACCTCAATTATCTACTGTAGGCTGTTAAAGAAAGCCAGGAAGGAAACAGCGGATACTCAGGATTATTTTCCAAACCTCTCTAGAAAGAGGGGAGGTGCCAGAGGACTACGGGATGGTTAACATGGCTCCACTTTTCAAGAAAGGTGGTAGAAATAAACCAGGGAATTACAGATCACTGAGTCTCACAGTGGCAGGGAAACAACTGGAGAAAATTCTTAAGGAGAGAATTAATCTCCACTTGGACAGGCAAGGTTTGATCAGGGATAATCAGAGGGAGATCATGCCCAACAAATTTGGTTGAATTTTAAGAGGTGGTGATCTGGTGTTTAAATAAGGGTTACAGAATTGATATAGTTTATATAAGACTCCAGTAAAGACTTGGACAATGTCCCATATGAGGGACTGGCAAAAAAAAATATAAGACACAAGATCCAGGGTATATTGGCAAGGTGGATCCAAAACTGGCTTCTCATCAGGAGACAGAGGATGATGGTAGAAGGCTGTTTGCGTGACTGGAGGACAGTATTCAGTGCTGGGTCGTTCATTGTTTGTGATTTATATGAATGATATTGATGAAAATGAGGGACAGATGTTTTCAGACGACAAGAAGATTGACTCAGTGGTTAATAGTGAGGAGGAAGGTCTTGGGTTACAGTTAGATATACAGGGGTTTGGTGAGATGGGCAGATCAGTGGCAGATGGAATTTAACCTTGAAAAGTGTGAGGTGATGCATTTCGGAAGACATGACAAGACAAGGGAGTATTCTTTGAAAGGCAGGCCATTAGAAGATCAAAGGGAGAGGGACCTTGTGGTGCATGTTCAGAGATCCAGAAGCCAGCACAACAGGATGGGGTGCGGAGGGGATACGCCAGGATGTTGCCCTGCGATACAGCATTTCACGTATGAAAATAGGCTAGAAAGGCTCAGGTTTCCCTTAGTTGAAGATTCAATAACAAAGCAGCATAATTTTCAAGTGAAGGGCAAGGGCTTTACAGGGGATTTGAGGAATTTATTTTTCATCCAGGGGCTGGTGGGAATCTGGAATGCACTGCCTGGATGGCAAGTAGATTGGAAACTTCAACCTTTAAAATGTACATGGATAAGCACTTGAAATGTCATAACATCAAGGCTACGGGCCAAATGCTGGAACGTGAGATTAACATAGATAGGTCCATGCAGACTCAATAGGCCAAAGGGCCTCTTCTGTGCTGCATGGCTCTCTGACTCTGAATTCACAACTGTACAATGTAAAATGTTGGATGATCCGTAGTATGGAAGGATCTCTTATGAACAAAGGTTAAACAGACTGGAACTCTACTTGGAGTTAAAAAGTAGAATGAGGGGTGATATCTTAAAGGGGCTTGACAGGGTAAATGTTGAAAGGATGTTCCCCTCATAGGAAAGTCTAGGACCAGAGGCATCATCTAAGAATAAAGGGGTGCCAACTTAAAATCTGAGATGAGGAGAATTTCTTTTCTCAGAGAGTTAAGCATTTTTGGAACCTCTTGCCAAACAGCTGTGAGGGCAGAGTCCTTATGTATATTTATGACTGAGATAGGTGGATTCTCGATCAGTAGTGGAACCAAGAAACAGCAGCTCAGTCATGATCCTACTGAATGGCAGAGCAGACTCCAGTCGCTGAACTGCCTTCTCCTGTCCTTATTTCTTACGAACTTAAGGGGTAATAAATTAATTATGTTTTAACTTCAAGAGTTATGTGCAGTATTCCAATAACTGAACAAAAACAAACAGCTGATACTAATTGTGAATTTCACACTTACTACAATATAGCTACACCACAGAATTAAATTTCTGTGGTCAGAGACTGTTAGCTCATACACAGTTACACTCTGACATCCCAATGCTTACCAGTTTCCGGTGGAGCAAAGGTATACTGGCTGCTGGAAGATGAACCTAGATTCAATTCATCATCGTTTGTTTGCTCTTGTGCTGCAACTTCAGTTTCCTCCTGGACAGCCTGAAGATCTTCTACAGGTGGCGTTTCAAGGGTAACAATATCTGAATCATCACTAGTTGCACCAACAAAAGTACTGTCATCAGCCATTTTATCTTTTGCTGGCTAGAACAAGCAAACAGTAGTCTTTTGTTAAGTTTCCATTTAAAAAGTCAGAATCAGCAATAACCTTATTCCAGTAAGTCAACTAAGCAACATTCGACTATCTCACACTCTTGCCAGGTATTTAAAGTTACTTTGTTAGAACACTTCTGGCATAATGATTTTAATTTACTTTAAAATAGTTTGAATTGCAGTATTACAAAAGGTTTTGACTTCCAAGAAGGATCAACTTAAAAAAAAAGGAAAGAAATAGCAAATCAAAGAGTAGTGACTGGGGGCTATCAAGCCTGAGATATACAAGATTATAAAATGTTGACTTAAATGTAATAAGTTCCATTTTCCCCAAGGCAATTGAACTTAAGAAGAGATTGTACAACATCTTGAGTTCAATACAGGATCCAGGAAGGATTATACAAAGCAGTGCATTTACAGCTTAAGTGAATGAAAGGGCTAGAGACAAATGCAAATATGCTATATACTACTCAAACCTCCTGAGACTGAGAGTGAAGCCAATTAATATAAGCAGTGCTGGGATATACCCCAATAAAGAAAACAAGTTTTTTAAAAATTTATTAAATTAGGTAAAACAGCATGATTTTAAAACTTTACTTCAGTTAGCTGTGGTTGAAACTTGAGACGTGTAATGCAATCCTGGCACAGCAGCTCGCAGGATTTCTGATACTCTGCTACACCTAAGCCACATTGAATTGGCTTTCATAATCATGAGAGATTGTGTTAAAGGTGTTTTATACCCTTCCAAACGCTAGATGTTTTCTAAGTGCTTGTATCTTAGACCATTCTCACAGAATGCATTCAGCATCACTTCAGTTAAAATCAGCTGTGTACAGTTAGAGGTTATGTGCTACACAGGAATGATAAATTCCTAAATTCTAATAACTGTTTTTATTAGAGCTTTCATGATTCTATCACCTTCCTTCAATAACTTTAGTGGCAATATCATGCAATTTGTTAAACTTTCCACAGAAGCTGTGTGTGTCAACATCTGGCTATTTGAATATTGTGCCTCTGTGTTCATAACAGAACACAGGTTCCAATGTAATCTCACCTCAGAGAATAATTCCTTTTCTGCTAACGTAACTGAGGAGCTAAGAGTTTCTATTGGTAGTTCAGGCTGCTCAGTTTCATCTGCTGAAAAACAAATTATGCAGTGTAAAACATATCAAGCTTTCATTAAATTTAAACCATACAACAAATTATTCAAAAATGAAAACTAAGAAGTTGCCACAGTGAAATTCCTACAGACAAATGTCCTGGTTTACACAGGACCAGCTGCCAGGACTGACTACAGTTCTCAGTAAAACACCATTGTGCAGGACTTGCAGAAACCAAAGAACGCAATGCAGAGTTTCTATTTAATAAAATGTACTATAATCAAATGAAGCTTTTTATTTAATAAGTCTGAAGTTAAAATTATTCTAATAGATTACAAGTTCAAATTCAAATATAATAAAAGGCAAATGTAGAAGCTGATTATTATCCCACTATAACACTGTATCATAGAAAATATGAAGGAATGAACTAAGTGATAATCAAAATACATCAAAGATCTATTGTAAGAATTTTTTTCTATAGAAATGATAACTAATTAATATTAATAACAAAGTATTTTTCTATATCAAAACAAATTTGAATTTTCACATAACTAAAATGTGCATTCCACAATTAAAAGGTCTTGTGTGTTAGTAAATTCCTAAGAATTTATTAATTTTTCAGTTAGCAGTTTGTAAAGTATATAGCTGGCTTATTCCTAACCAAAAGGACTCATTCAAAGCATAGCAACACTTCATCTCAAGAAGTGATAATGTGCTTCTGCTTAGCATGGTCAATATTTGGAACCTCAGCATAGTGGAACACCTGTTTGCCAGGATAAGTAGTTGAAGTTAAAAGCTCTGGTCACAACAATACAGTAAAAATCCTTTGAAACAAAGGCACTTTCTCTCCTTAAATGCAACATATAGATATTTTAATCAACTTTTTCAGAAATGTTATTAAAGGGTCCAGAAGGGAAAGGTTTAGTATTTGTGCTAAACTACAGATTTAGAATAAAACCCTGGGAAGTCCCTGAAAAGTCTTTTACTGCCTAATTCAAAAATGGATATTGGTCTGTGAAACGTGGCAAATTAAAAACCAATGAAACACATTGCTTCAGAGGTCACAAGAAAGGAGAAAGTGAGAAAGAAGAGAAAATGAACTTGCACTTGTATGACCTCATGGAGAGCCATGGAACCTACTTCTTGTTTAATGAAGCACTTTTCATTGTAACTTATAGTTACTGCTATAAAGTTTGTTATTTTCCCAGCTCATGTTTTTACTGGACAAGTCAGATGCTAGACTGAAATTTGGCTTTATATATCATATTTGCTTTCTCAGTGGTCTTTAACTGAAAAAGAAGAATGCCATGCAGATTTGGTTTTAACAACAAAACAGAAATTTATTACTCACAAAAATGAAAATCAAAATAGAACAAACCATGTTCAATGATTTTCAAACACAAAGTAAAACTCAGTCCCATTAATCCCAAAAGCTCTCCTTTTGCAGTACTCACACCAGAGTGAATTCCTTCTCTATTATATCAATAGTGCTTCATTTAACTGTGGCTTCATAACAGTCTTGAGAGTCTGACAGTTGTATGAAGACTCAGGAAACAGCCAAGTTTAGACCTTCTTGGCTTCAAATAACACCTTCGCTGTTTTAACCAAATACTTCTGACTGGAACTTTAAAACTAAACTCCCTGCACTGCAGTAATCTATGGCTTAATAGTTCTAAGCTATCTCCCATCTTTAGGAGCAACTGTTTTACACATACAGTTTCAGCAAGACTTCTGCAAAACCTTTTCTTCCCCCAAACACTGAGTATTTCCCCTGATCAAAAAGAAAAAGAAAATCAAATTTCTGACCTCCTAACTAAAAGTCTACTGAACATTTCTTTATTATGTTCACTGAAAAACTCAAACAAAATCCCATTACACATCAGAACACCTTCAGAAACACCTACAAGTTGATGCATAAAAAAATCCAAACTCTAAAATAAATAATGCTAAAATATAGAAAAATCACACACCTTACGTAGAGAAATACAACAACATAAATTTAGATTTAAAAAAAAAGAATTATTTCATGGGAAGTGGGCACTAGCATTTGTTCCCCATCCCTATCTGGCCTCAAACTGAGAGATTTTGGAAGGCAGTTAACAGTCAAACACACTGCTGTGGGTCTGTAGTCACATGTAGGTCACACCTGGTAAGGACAGTGGATTTTCAGTGGGCCAAATGGGTTTTTACAATGATCAATGATAGTTTCATGGTCACAATTACTACTGTTCAATACGAAATTTATTAATTCATTTTAAATTTCACCAGGTTCCACTGAGATGTAAACCCAAAACCCTACTAGTCAAGTGACATTATCACTATGCCACCATCTCCACTCGTGTTAGCAAAGTTGGTCGATGAACAAATATTGGCCAAGACACCAGGAAAACTACTCCACAACAGGTTGGCTAATTCATTGATCTACTGATCAACATGTAAAGTTCTCACACCTGGGAAGGAATGGCAAGGGTAGCCGCGCTGACAGTAAATAGACTTGCCAGCCTCAAGCTTTTGGGCAGAAAGAGAGGGTGCAAAAGAACAGCTGTTGGTGTGAAAGAGAAAAGAAGCTGCAGGTTCCTTACAGGATATTAAATCCAGATGCAGAAGGGAAGTGGTCTTGTTACAATCCTGTTGGGGATAATTAATGTTTAAAAAAGAGAAATCCAAACAACCCGTAATTAAATGACAGAACTAAGCCACACAACTTCGTGTTTTTTTTACATATAACAGACTGTTGTATGTAAAAAGACTTTAAACGAAGCAAGCACTGTTAACTAAACACTGTAGTTTATTTTTAAAAAAAAGAACTGCACTATACAAGCTCAGTCCTACCTGTTACTTTGCCTCCCAAACAGGAGTTCCCATCTCTCTTGAAATAATGAAGGTTCATTCATTTCATTAGGGGACAACAAAGGTATGTCACAGGGCTCCGGAATTCACTCTAATTTTCCTCAATGTTCCAACTTTAATCTTGAAGGAAAAGGAGCTGAAAGATTTGCTCTAGTTTACAACTACTGCAATAAATCACCAGTTTTGGGAGCAGATGGCAGATCCTGAGCTGGGTTGATTACATCTCAGGAGAATCCAAAACCCAATAAAAGGAAAATGGACAAGGAGGGACATTCTACCCCAAAACCTCCTCCTCATTTACAATCCATCTGGCTTTGGAGCCATATTTATTGGCTTGAACTTTACAGGAATCAATTAACATAAACAGAACTCGACAATTTTACATATACAATTTTTCTCATCCTAGAAATTAGAGGGAGTGAGCAAGAAGATTAAACACTCTGCAGCATGAGAAAAAAATTAACTAAATAGAATTAACTGGAACATCCTGCACCATCCAGCATAAATGTACATCTAAAGTCTAAAATGTAGACACTATGTCACCAACTAATCTATTCACTTATAATTCTTAAATATTTAGTTCTTGCTAATAAAAATGCCTACATACTGAGCTCTTAAAAAAATGAGAAATGAAATACCCTTCAAAGCCTATCTAATAAATAACAGTTCATTGCACAGCAGTAAAGCTCTGTTTCTTGCAAATGTTTCACAGTAATTCCATTATCCCAATGGGACAGAAAGCTTATACAGTGAACAGCTAAGCCATAAGCATCAGAAAAGTCCCAGTACCATTCCACAGTCTCTACAGTTAGTTAAACAGGGGAATACCAACAAGGGAATAAAACTGCTCCTAGTTACCAAGGGAAAATTAGCCAGGGTCCCCACTCCTGATGTAGAATTTTGCAGGAAAAGCACAGAACCAGGTGAGAACCGTAAACAGGCAATGAACTGTCCTTTTCCAATTGCAAAGTTCCATCCATGCCCACATATGGATAGCAGTCATTTGGGAAAACTACTGGTGGGTATCCAATCTTCATGGTATAGTATTCCAGCAGGAGACGTTATGTAAATAATTGTTTAGTAGTACTGAATTTGAGATCATCAATTGGGCTCACAATGTGATGCATTTGCAGGTGCTAAAAGCTACATAAACAATTATACAGGACCTGTTTATGTAAGCAAATGGAATTTATATGTACATTGTACCTTTTTAATAACCTTTTCATGTTGTCAACTAATCTCTACTACATGGCAACACCTTGACCAATCAGATCAACTTGCCTGGTCTGAGAATTAAGATTGATCGGTAACTATTCTTACTACATCTCCATGGCAACGATGGCCCTACTAATCAGCACCCTCTTCTCATGTTGTTTTAAAAAAAAAATGTCCCCTTGTTCAAGTCTGTTTCCTGCATTCTGGTTCTGGTGAGTGCAAAATGAATAGCTTCAACTTCATGTTTCCTTTTAGCAATATTTGAGATGATATTTATATGCAGCTTCTTTACAGCAGAAGATTAAAAATAAAGAACATGTCTAGTATACTCATTAGCTACATTGCTTACCTTGCAATTCAAAAGGTTTGTCAAGTTGTTGTTCTGGCAAAGGCTTTGAAATGCCTTCAGCTTCTCCTTTGTCGGAGCTGAGAATCTCCACATCAGAACCCTAAGCAAAGGACATCATCAATCAACAATGTTAAAGTAGCACTTTAATAATTTATTTTCAAAAGCAAAATACATTTATCAATCAGCTATAGTTTGAAACTTTTCTCTTGGAGATCAACATGAAGGTGTGCACATCTTGATTCTGCATTTTATGCTAGATAGTCGACTTGAGTTCAGCAGCACCAACCACTCCCCAAGTGGACTGCAATGATTTCCACAAATCAGAGCATGACTTTATCTGCCCAATCGATAAGTAATTAATGGGGAAACTCCAAATCCCCTTTCCATAAGTGTATAATATGCCACAAATTAATTCATCTCTCTTCAACTTAAAATATATCTCAGGTTAAGAGTCCAGCTTTAAACTAACGAGTAACATATTTTAATGTATTGTACATTCAGCTCCCTAGTGTAGTTGCAAAGTTATTACATATTTCAAAACAATAACAATGACACCATGAACCATCTTTCATCATAAGACTGTTCCTGCTAAAATGTAGCTTGGTCATGTTGTTTGAATACAGAGTCTGTGGGATACACTGTTTGGATTGGATTACTATATTAATAATCTCCTGTTATTTTTGCTTTTGAAACGTAGAAGTTGGCAAAAGGTATTAAGGGATATGGGGCAAACAAAGGTCTGTGGAATTAAACTGAAGATCAGCCGTGAACTCACTGAACGGTGAAATAGGATTGAAGGGTTAAATGTCCTCTTCTTGTTCCTATGTTCCAGGAAGCTCATCTAGATTCCCAAATCCACACCACATGAAGTGGCATCAAATGCACTATTTATACCAACATTTCCCAAAATAAATTTATGTTTCAACTTTGTCCAGATGACGCAACTGGCAGCTAGTCTGCAATGGAAATTCCCTTCAGAAAGCAGCTAACTTTCAATAAAATGTTTCACAGAAAGTTAACCTGACGCAAAGTAAGACAGTGAAAATGCATTTAACCAATGTGTTTATATTACATCACTTTTAACAATTCATTATAGACAATCAGGAACAACGTGCTCAAACAAAAAGGGTGGGAGGACTATTTACTGGTACATTGGCAGTACATGGACACCAAGGTGAAAACAACTTTAAGATATTTATAATTACCAGCAGATTCATCTTTTAAAGTTAGGTTTAAACAGTGAATCCAGTGGATTGACTGCCTCTTCTTGTGATTTGTTATGAATATTAATGACATTTTATCCGCATTATATTTAATGATACCTGTCAGTGCCAACAGTTCAATTGCTAAACACAGCATGGTATATTCAACATATAATGGGCAGCTTGCTGCACCAATTGACCAAAATTGTCCTCTTGTTGAAAAATTCAACCAAATGCCATCAAATCACCTGGCAGAATGATACTCAATAGTCAGTGGCTGGAAAGCATTTCAGATCATCTAAAACTTCACAACACCCACCACATTTCTGATGAAGGGTCTAGGCCCGAAACGTCAGCCTTCCTGCTCCTATGATGCTGCTTGGCCTGCTGTGTTCATCCAGCTCTACACCTTGTTAAACCCACTACATAAATATAGTTGGCTGAAATTCTCTCATACTGTTCAGCACAAAATTTCTGAAAACCTGATGGATGCTTTATGCCAAAACCTCTGCAAGCATATTTCCTTAATCAATTGTGCTGTTCCTGAGATACATCCACCAAAATCCCACCTAGCTCATTAACATAGCTCTTGCCCCTAACAAAAAGCCATTCTGAACAGGTATACATTTATATCCAAAATTTAAAAGTTACAAGATGGAATTTCTCTATTTCTGACATTACAGCATCATATTTTAGTGACATTTTATTAATACTAGTTATATATGTCAATCTTTTTGTAATGCATCATATCCTGTTACATGAAAATGCGAAAGGTTTCCACAATTTTTTTTCAACAGTACTTAATGTACATAAAAGGTTGGATGATTTCAAAATTTATATTTCATAATATTAATTAGAAAAACATGGTCTTAACAAATGATATCATACTGCTCCAAATATTTCTGGCCTTAATGCAATTAGTATATTGTTACAGAATTTTCGTATTTAGATTGAGCCAAATTTACAGGTAATATTGTACATGAAAATTGCAGCGATACACTGGATTAAAGCTACATGGTTCTTAGAACAGCTCTTTAATTCTTGCAAAGTGCAAAAGATTGTAAAGCTGAAATAACTGTTCTTTAATTCCAGGGTTCCACTTAGTAAGCATAGAAGTTAAAAGCAAAAAGGAGAAAGTATTTTGAATATAAAAAGATAATTACATATCTGGGATGTTATGAAAATAAGTCATCAACGCTAGCTTTGTGGTTGATATTTACCTCATGTACTGTTTCTTCCAGAAAACCCATCTTTAGATCTGTCCCAACAGGGGCTCGAAGATAAGAACATCGATAAATAATGCAAATCCGCATAATTTATTGATCTCTTACCAAAATAAGAAATCAATCCCAAAGGTATCATTGCCAGATCAGTTTAACACCATCCCATCAGCTTATGTACATTTTCCAGTTAAAATACTCACTAATTTTCACCCAGGTCGGAAAGGACAGAAAGCCACACTATTTTGTATGGCAAACTTCTCCATCATCAAGACAGACAACAAAAAAAAAACAATAATAACTTTAGCTAGAAATAACTCAAAATATGCTCAGTATTATTCTGATCTACTTTCACTGCTGTTCCAGAATTTTTTTAAGTATACATTTATATACACTTGCACATGGAAACATACAGCATATAATCACATATCATTTCATCTTGCAATGTTTCTAGTATACCAGACAGTTACAACAAGCATAGTAGTGAACAGAAACCATTATGCCCTAATTTTGTTTATGATGGATCTATTTTGTTTTGAAAAAAAAACATACATGCATTTTTGTTCTTTCACATGACGTGGACATCACTGGCTAGGCCAGTATTTATTGCTCATCACTAATTTTCTCAGAGAAGTTAACAGTAAGCTACCTTCTTGAACTGCTGTCATCCTTGTGGTGTACAAAATCACAAAGTACCATTAAGGAAGAAGATCCAGGATACTGACCTAGCAACAGTGGAGGAATGGCAAGATAATTCCAAATCAGGATGGTGTATGGTTTAGAAGGGAATTTGTGGTTGGTTTGGGCCCATGTAGAGACTGCCCTTGGCTGTCTAAGTGGCAGAAGTCACGGGTTTGGAAGGTGCTATCAAGGAAGCCTCAGTGAGTTACTGCAGTGCATCTCTTTAGATGGTACACACTGCTGCAACTGTGCATTGGTGGTAAAGGGAGCAAATATTCAAAGTGGTGGATGTCCTGGATGATTTCTAGGTCAAGTGTTGTTGGAGCTGCACCCATCCAGGTAGTTGAGAGTATTCCATCACCCTTTTCATCTGTGCCTTGTAGATGATGGAGAGACTTTGGGGAAGACGAGACTTGAGTTACTCGCAGCAGAATTCTTGGCCTCTGACCTGCTCTTGTCACAACAACATGCATCGAGCTAGTCAAGATCAATTTCTGTCAATGGCAATCACCGAGCAAGAGTAAACATCCAGGGTTGACTAATGACATTTAAAAGTAACAGGTTTCCAGTGTTATTTTAAACAACTTTTTCAATAAAGATTTAAATATACAATATCCAATTTTTCTCATTACAACTACTTTATCTCTTAAAAAAAAGTCTGTCTTTCCCTTGTATGTTAATGATATACATTAATCAGAAGCTCTTTACAAAAGTTTCCATTGTGGGACTTATTTTTAAATGATTATGAAGATCTTGCATTTGTTACATCAGCCTAGACACAAAGATTCTGTACTCCAAATAGAACATAGGATTTTCACAATATATATGCAATGCTACATCATCGTAACTATGCATAAATATATTTTTTCTAGTCACTTGGAATAAATTAAAACAGTTAATTAAGTGACAAATTCCAAAGAAAACTATGCAAATATATAAGTTGACTATGCTACATAGACCATTGCACAATGCGAAACAATTGTGGAGGGACTTCCCCATCTGCTTATGTGCACCAAAATCATAAAAACTTATGAAGACCTGGAACATGATTCTGCAATAGAATGTGCAAAGCAAATCTTGCTTTTTTGTAAAACACAAGTTATTGCACAGTTAGTTCTTACATCTCATAATTTTTAAAAACTCAATTCTTCAGTGCACAGATAAACCACAATTATAACATTCCATTTCTTAAGCACTATGATATAAGAAAAATATTGTATACTTCATGGTTAATTATGGTCCAACCACAGGATGATTCACTATCGCTGGAACTCTCTGACATCTTCACGCCAAGGTAACTGCAAAACAAGTAATATCAAAATTAGCAAAAAAAAAATCAAATTTTCATTAAGACTGATACTTTTCCAAACAACATTCATTTTGTTTTGTCTGTTATTAAAAACATATGTAAACAAATGTTTCTGGAACCCAAACAACACTATTTAAACTCCACTGGCACTCATGAAAAGCCAACATGCAGTGTGCTCTTAATTTGTGCCAAAGGAAAAACTTTCTATTCTGTTTAATTAAAATTATTTAATTAAAACTAGAGAACAATTAAAATTTATGCCAGTTTAAAAAAAAACTTTGGATTAATAGTACGCTACATCATATATTGTAAGAACAGCTTGTTTTTGTTTGAGGAATCATGTGACCCATCTGTCCTCCCTGAACCAAGGTCACTGGTCACAACAACAGCTGCACAGCGCAGTTCAAACTTAAAATAAAAGTGGGGCTTTCAACAATATTATATTTATATATGGTTGTTAAATATAGCCCTATGACGACACCTCTAGTCTGCACATACAATCCCATTTAAAAACTCACGAGTGTTCTCGCAGCTACCAATGCGAACTGGAATTTAAGCCTGCAAGACAACCATTTGTTAGTTATTTTAATCACAAACATACAAACAAGGAACAGGAGTGGGTTATTTCGCTCCTCAAGCCAATTAAAGGCAAACTCTTTTTACTTTGATTTTCTTTCATGGACTAAATATCATACCCCAGATGCAAACTCAGATATTTCCAATATTTACCCAACTATGCATCCTACCCCATTTATAAAACCCAGATTTGCTTCATATTTCAAAGTTTTTCAATTGTGTAATACTTTTCATTCAAAGTGAAAGTAGCAGAGAAACTTGTGAAACTGCTATTAAGATTATACCGCTAAGTAAGCCTGTTTCCTGCAATAGTTCAGGATGTACACATTTCAGGCATTATTTTTCGCAGTGCAGTACAGCTTTCACCGTTATTCGCAAAAAATGGAAAACAGGTATTACAATAATTATCATGGGATCTGAAAGAAACCAAAAGGTTTTTAGTACCTTCCCATTATGTTTAATAGCATTGGTGGTAAAAAAAAAAAGCCATGCTGCTCTCATTGCTTAAGTTATTCCTAACATTGTACTATCACTACTGTATCAAATCAAATTGAAAGCAAAAACATGGATCTCAAAATGTGCTCTTTATGGCTCAACCCAGTTGTTACTGATCAGCGTATGAGAGCAATAAATCAAACTCGCTGGCACATATAAAGATCAGTCATCAATGGTGTAGCAACCTCAAGAGGTTGAACAGTCTACTGCTGCTCCTAATTCACGTGTGTAACATCAGTGTTTTGCACTAGAAAACTACTAGAAGATGAGCATTTAGCTTATGTGCTTACAAACCACGCTGATAATTGGAGACAATATTGAATCATGCCTGCTTAGATCAACATTCATTCAGACTGTCAAATCCAATTTTCAGAAATCCAGTACTGGAAGTGTCAAAGCAAAATAGAGGAAGGATTGACAAGGATAGAAATTTTACCCTTAAATGCCCTTTTTCATGCTTTGTAAATAGTAATAAATTATGTGCTGGTAACAAAACAGATCAGCACTGTACATTTTTTTCCAAATTACAGTGGAACCTTGATTGTCCAGCATGATGAAGGGCAGGTGAATCATAATTGGTGCATAATTAAATTGGAGTTCAATGCTGAGACTATTCCACACTATAGTCCTTGAATAGAAATAACAATTCAAATTTTAAAATGGTCTCAGCAAATGGCAGGACCCATTTTGAGGTGCATATCATGCAGTGAACTTTATTCCAAAGAGATTTAGTATTGACCAGCAAAAGTGATTAGCCTATGTCACATGAGTATGCATGGAAGTTTTATTGAGGTCTATAGAAGACCCAAGCGAAATTGCAGCCCAAAAGCTGAAAGATGTGACTCGACTCCAAGTCCCTAACTCCTAACAATCCAGTTTTCATGTAATGATTTGGAACATATATTTTTGAAATAATCAAAATTGGGGTTGTATTTCGTACAGAGAAGAGGAAGCAGTTAACACTTCATAAAAGGTTTGCAAAATTATGCAATATTTTGAGAGGAAAAGTATTTTCAATAATTGCCAAATCAGTAGTCAAACTTCATTGCAAAAATTACATTGCAAACAAAAGAACAGGGACTGAGGAAGGGTCACCGGACCCGAAACGTTAACTGTTTTCTCCTTCACAGATGTTGCCAGACCTGCTGAGCTTTTCCAGCAACTTTGTTTTTGTTCCTGATTTACAGCATCCACAGTTCTTTTGGTTTTTATTAGGGACAATTACATGTATAGTTCTGTAAAGTAGCCTATTGCGCCACTACATTAAATGTGGCCTATCAAGAAATATTAATTTCATATACCAACAAATATCTTTCTGTTTAATCACCAATTTATTTAAATTCAAAATACAATTGCATTTGCTCACACAACACTCAGTAGTGGTTGATACTATATACATAAAAAACAGTGAATCTTCAGCATTTACTGCATGCATGCATGGATGTTCCTGATTTTTGACTGGGATCCAGTGTTTTTTGTAAGTTTCTCCCAATTACAGACACCAAGAAGAAAAAAAAAGTATTTTCAAAGGAAAACAAAATATAGAAAAGATTAGATTAAAAAGTCTAAAATTGCATTTAAAAAAAGAAATTCAGAACTTAAAAAACTAGGAAAGGGTTGTACAGAACAGAAATGACTACATTGCAAACAGAAGTTTATTCTGGTTAATAGTGTAAGTTAAATTCTGAGTTCATCTTTGGTTTACAGTGGTTTCATTTTACACGCTTATGATGTAACAAGGACAATAAACATAGACTTTTCATTGTGGAAGTGGTTTCCAGCCAATGAATAACCCTGCTCTTCAAAATAAATGGGGTTATGGGGATAGGGTGGGGGTTATGTCTGGGAGGATGCTCTTCGGAGGGTCAGTGTTGACTTGATGGGCCAAATGGCCCCTCTCTGCATTATGGGGATTCTATGAAATACTTGCAGTTTAAGACTGGTTCAAAGACACTAATATTCTGCACTGTTTCAGTAGCTTTATTACCATAAGATGGTATTAATCTCAAACAAGACAAGAATCTAAAGATTAAATTCACAATCACAAATGATACAATGTTGTAGGCAAATTATTTATTGTTACAAAGGAGGCAAGTTAATTAAGATGTTTGGGCAAAAACAGCAGTTAGGCAACTTGATTTTACTTTAAAAACTAACAGCACAATAAGTTCTCAGAAAAGTGAATATTATGAACAGGATGAAAATAAAACCAAATGGTTTGGTACAAATGAAGGGATAATACAACAAGCATAACTGAAGTTACTGACAATGAAACAGTCCTCCTTAACCCAAAGTCTCTTCTGGTTCTAAGAAAATTTTCTGTTTGAATAAAACCCAAAATAGTCACTGAAATTATAGTTATTGAGATAATGCATTGTTTGCCTGCCCACATCCCACAGAGTCATTCCAGCAGGCTGAATTACCTCCTCCTGTGTTGTAACCATTGGATGATATAATTTTCCACTTTGTTGAATTGTCAATGACAGTTGTGCTGCTGGAGAAAAATGCCAGACAGAAACCAGGAATCATGTGGAGGAGGGGAAAGAAGCTTGACCATATCAGAGGTAAGAAAATAAAAGGTTTTGCAACCTCAAGTAAATCCTTGTTCCATAAAAGATTGCGATTTCTATCTGAATCCTTGGTAGGCTAATAACAGAATTATAAGGAATTCTTGTTCTTCGACTTAGATGCACATATTGAATCTTTAAATCATAGTAGCCCCATTCTATACTTTGGTCCTTGATAGCGATCATGTAAATCATCATTGCAATCACAGGGGTACTAATGTTCCTTTCACACCCATGCTGTGATTATTGTCAGCATCATGGCTTATGAAACAGTCACTGGAGAGTGCTGGAAAGTTGGGGAGCAATGACTTGGTTGTAAACTGTCTTCCCAGGGAAATTAGGGAAGTGCAGAAAGAGCTGCCCAAAATACAGATCATGGTTTGCAAAACAAACAAAACAAACAATATCAGCAATTGTTCCTCATCGACTGCTGCTGTCAAAGGACGGTTTCCTCATCAACTGTGATCAAAGGATGGTTGTGAAGAAGGCACTTGCGGAGCTCCAGTTTAATTTCATTCTTCACCAGTACACCGGGCAGTATGGGAGGTGCGCGTTACTCCCATTGCCATAAATAACGGGGAAAAACATAGGGTGGGGGAGGGGGAATTACGTAAGTAAGAGTGCAATCAGATCATGCAATCGTTTGCAATCTGTGTGAAGGAAAACCAGAGCTGCTGGATCGGAAGCCTGAAGAAAGTGAAGCCGCTACTAAACCAAAATAAACAGTGACTGTGGAATGCCTCCTTTCAGTGCGCAGTAATAATAGCAGGGAGGCAGAGACGCGCCTGAGCCTCTCGGAGCTGCAGCACGGCTTAAGGTGGAGGGGGGCGGGCGGAGTCGGGGAAACGGGCCATTCGAGGCAGGGCAAGGTTAACCTCCAGCCGAGGAACCGAGGCCCTCAGTCCTTCCCGACAGCGGCCTCTCCCAAATCAGATCAATCCCAATCACCACTTCCTGGGGCCCGCCGTCCGTCACCCCGGGAGACAGTGGCGATCGCGACCCGCTCACACCGAGCCGGACCTCAAACCCAGACCCGCACCCCAACAGCCTTACCTGCCGCCTCTCCCTTCAGCCGGCGATAAATAAAACGCTGTTGGTGACCGGTTAAAAAACAACAGCCTCCGGACGCTGCTGCCAGCCCCCACCCCTCCCCCTCCTCTTGTGATGTTTTGACTGACGCTGCGGAGCGAAGCCCCGCCCCCTCCCGGCCGTGGATGCACGCGTGCGCGCAAGCCCGCCTCCCCGCGTGGCATTCTGGGACTTGCAGTCCCAGAACCACGGGGCTTCCCCGCTCACCGAACGAGCCGTCCACGCCGCAACCGGACTACAACCAGAATGCACCACGCAAACGCGCTCTGGTGACGCCCCTTTCATGACGAACAACCAATCAGACACCGTTACCAAGGCGCCGCTGCCACAACAAACAGCTCGAGCCGAACAATGGTTCCATGGCAACCAGGGGCTAAGGGTGGCAGAGGGGTTGCATTGATTGCAATATTTCCCTCTGGACCCTGCTGCATGGCACACTCAAACTGTTACTTGGCCAAAAGAGAGCTGCAGAAAGTGAGAAAAACAAAGAACTGTGGGTGCTGGGAATCAGAAATAGAGAAGGGGGACCGTTTAAAGGTACTGTTCCAACTGGGAAGACCCGAAGCTTCGTATTGAAAGGGACCATGAGCTGTCATGCCACTCCAGCGACTGCTCGAACGGTTCAGTTCAAAGACCCAATATGTGGTGATGATCCAGCTGCTCCACAGGTTGAGCCCAGAGATGACAATATCAACTCGTCCCTCGCTCGAAAGGTTCACTTTGAAGACTCGGTGTGTGATAATCTCAAACTGCCCTTTTCAAAAGTTGAGTCTGCAAATTGTGAAATTGATCCCAATTCACCCCTAGCTCAGAAGGATCAGATTGAAGACTCAATTTGTAAGGAATTTAACCAATCTTTTGCCCCTAAGGTTGAATCTGAAGACATAGTTTATGAGGATGCTGATTTAGCCCATGCTCGGAAGGTTCAGTGTAATGAAGTGCGGGACGATTTCAATCCAGCTTTTGTTGTAAAGGCATGTAATGACAGCGTGTGTGATGATATCCGTTTATCCTTTGCTCCAAAGGGTGAGTGTAAAAGCTCAGTCCGTGATGATCACAGTCAATGTTTTGCTTCAGAAGTTGAGCATAAGAAGGAAATGAATGGTGATAGTCCTGTTCCAGTCGCTGCTGCAAAAGCAGGGGATGAGAAGCTGTGGTCTCCCTGCGCGAATCCTGGTAACCCAATCTTTTCCTGCATGGCAAAGTTCCCGACGGCACCATTTTCCCCCGTTCCGTTCGTTAAACCACAAAATCCACTTTTCAGAACCACCAGTGCGGCGTATGGGTCCAACCAACCGACTTGTGAAATTGCTCCTTCAGTCTACAAACCACTAACGCAGTCCTTCTCTGCGATGCTCCAAACCGGCGGAATGTACCGTAACCGTTCTTTAAATACTGGGTCGGATAAAAAGAGAGTGCACGATTTTCTCCCCTTATAACTCGACTGTACGGGGAGCGAAGTCGTCGTGATTCGAGAGTGCATGTGGTCTTGTAATCATACAAGCTTTCGGAGCGCAGCCCCTTCGTTAGGTGCAATGAGGAAGGGTGCACCTGACGAAGGGCTGCGCTTCGAAAGCTTGTATGATTACAAATAAACCTGTTGGACTATAACCTGGTGTACTGTGACTTCTGACTTTGTCCAACCTAGTCCAACACTGGCACCTCCACATCATGATCTTGTAGTAGTCAACCGGATGATATATTATGGTAATATTTGTTGGCATAGTGAATAGAACAGTTCAGTTATGTTTGTGAACAGGGGAGAGATTGTGTAAAATATTCAACATTCGTGTAGTTCAGTATTCACCTGTGTACAACCGCACTCTTGTCATAATTTTTCAGGGATGCATTCGGAGGAAGATAGTCAGACTCAACAAATGTTAAGAACTAGCAATCAAAAGCTTTTCTTTCACGTAAAATCCTACAAACTCAGCCCCTCCCCCCTCCACCTCACTCACACCGGATAGTGCTGTTGCACCTTGCATTCGCTTAGCGCACGAAGTCTGCTCGGCAATGTAATGCAGCACACTAGCTCTAAGGAGCTGCTGTCTTACGGTTGCATTTCAAAAGGCTTTCAGCACAGTACCACTTCCCCTTCTCACCATTTCCTTTTTCTGCAGCAACTTGTAAAAGCAATGGTTCAGTTCCCACCCCCACACCCCACAGTTCCCTGCCCTGACATTTCAGTTCTATCCCTATGTTTGTAATTTAGACAAAATAGCTCCAGATCTTACTTCTGTCTGGGTCCTGTGCCAGTCATTTGTTTAGGCCCTGCTTTCCAATCTGTGACCTGAAATACCAATCTAATTTATCCTGTTTAACTTTAAAATACCTCCCAACTCCAACAATTTAAAGAATGGTCCTGCCTCAACAATTAATTCTCTCGAGAATCATCCTATAATTTTAAAGGCCACCCTTTTTTTCCATTTTGACAGCTCTGCTCCTGCTGATTAAGTAATATATTAAAATTGTTGTACATAGTATGTAGCTGCTGAATATGTCACACTTGCTTCATTCCCAAATATACATTGTTCATAACTTCCCTAATATAAACATCATGTAATTCAATTACTATTGGGATCTGGTGTGTCAATAAAATCCAGTTTAAATTACATTACTATTAAGTGTTTGTTTACCCCACAATGCTAAAGATACAGTCTAAATCCAGGGTCAGAATGTCCAACTATTTTGCTTTGATGTTGTATGGACCAAGACTCGATTGTGCTGTTGAAGTAGGTTTAAAAACCTATGGTGATGATGAGTTAACTTAAATGTCTAGTCAATGTTCATCTTCCTACGGGTACTCTAAACATTTGAAATGAACTTGTGTATGCCTAAGTGTCTTGCATTTATATCTGTTGTGGAGCTGCTGTTTAATAAAATATCTCTGTATATCTTGTTCATTATATTGTCAAAACCAAATCAGTTTCAAAAGAATTTATGAGTGTGCCAATTAGACACCTTAGATATACCAATTAGCATTGTCTTGAGATTCATAAATGAGTGTACTGTAGGAATCCTGAATCCAGGTGTGTTTGTGTTCCATACGGTAGAGCAACATATCCATGTGGAGCCGATGAAAAGGGAACAAAGCCCATAACAACCAGGAGAGAACCCACTGAGTACGAAGAGAAAAAAAAACTGATTGCAGAGGGGGCTTTGTGGGCTACTACATTTATTATGGATCAAATCTCAACCAAGTTTCCTTATGACCCTCAATGCTTTAGCAGTTATACGATGCAGATACCACAGAGTCAGACCCAGCAGAAAGGAAAATGGCTGTGGTTGTTAGAGGTCAATTGCTGTTCCAGGACACATCTGTCCAGAAATTTCTCAGGGTAGTGTCCTCAACCCAACCATCTTCAAATGCTTCATCAATAATCTACTCTCCATCATTAGTTCAGAAGTGGGGATGTTCGATGATGATTGCACAATGTTCAGCATCATTTGTGACTCCTCAAATACTCAAGCAATCCATGTCCAAATGCACATAGACCAGGACAGATCCAAGTTTGAGCAAATGGCAAGTAACATTCATGCCATACAAATACCACGCAATGATTAGCTCTGAAAAGAGAGAATCATCACTCAATTCTCTCATTGGCGATCTCCTGGCAGTTACCACTGATCAGAAACTGAACTTGTCTAGCAGTACAGATATTGTGGTTACCTGTAGTGAATAACCTCCTGACTTTCCAAAGACTGCCTACAATCTACAAGGCACAAGTCAAGAGTGGATTGGAACACTCCCCAGTTGTCTGGTTTAATACAGCTCCTACAACTTTCAAGAATTCAACATCATCAGGACAAACTAGCCCACTTGATTGGCACCACATCCATAAACATTCATTCTCTCTACTACCAACACTCATTAGCAGCAGTGTGTTCCATCTACAAGATGCACTCTAGAAATTCACTAAAGACTCTTTAGGACCTTCCAAACCCATGACATCCACCATCAAGGAGGATGAGACAGTAGATACATGGGAACACCATCACCTGCATGTTCCTCTCCAATTCACTTACCATCCAGACTTGGAAATATATTGCTGTACCTTCTCTTTGCTGTGTCAAAATCTTGGAAGTCACTAACCAATGCATTGTACATGTATGTACACCAAATGGGTTGCAGTGGTTCAAGAAGATGGCTCACCACCACCTTCTCAAGGGCAATTAGGGGTGGGCAATAAGTGCTGGCTGACCCTGTGAGACCGACCCTGAATAAACTTTTTTTAAAAATACCAGTACAATGCTCAACTTCACCCTATTCAATACGATAAGTATCATCAAATTTTACAGCACAGAATGGAGTCCCTCAGCCCATCATTTCTGTTCCAGGTCCTCAAAAATCTGTTCATTGTAGTCTCACATTGCCCATATCTATATGTGATCTCTAACATGTCCTCTATCTAAACAATATTTATCCACAAAAAACATACTGTTTGAACACAAATACCAAATATTGTGTGAAAAACTTTACAGTTATGCATCGCTCTACTTCACTTTCTTGAAACTATGCTATTATGTGCTATTGATGTTAAAGAAGTCCCTATGATCTTCCTTAGCACAAGAGATTTAATTGCTTAAAAAAGCATAAATCCATACTTCAATTCATATTATCTGCTTGAAATTTCAATAAGTTATAAGTTCAAATGTATAAATGAAAGCCAGCTTGTTTACACCTATTTTCAAAGTAATCATCAAACAGAACAAAGGTGCTTGAATTGTATTTTCTCCAAATGATGCCTCTGACAATATATTAAAGAAACAGAAAAGGCAAAAAATACCCAACAGGTCAGCCAATGTCTGCACAGAAAATCACAGTTCAATTACCCATTGTCTTTCTTCTGGTTTTACATATCACAAAATGTATCATGTTATCAAACTGCTAGCCCATAGTAATGTAGCTACTTCCTTCAGAAAACAAGCTGATAAAATGAAGCTATAAGGAGCTCCAAAGAAATGAAGCATATAACAAAGATGTTAAAACCTTGTTAATAACTGCATTTTGCTGAATATTCCTTCACTTCTTTTGATACTACTTTATGTCCTCTAAACACTTCAGAAGTTTCAAAAAGTTAGTATTCTTTTTTGTGTGGTGTGAATTATCCCAAGGACAGATCCTATGCCCATTTCCCCTTGCCTTGCACTGCTCTTCAGTTGTTTATAAGAACCTGCCATTGACAACTACCAAGAGCCAATAAGCAATATAACAGAAAAGAATACAAGTTGACTTCCTGTTATCTTCCCCAAGTGCATTTAAAGGAAACAAAAACCACTTTTGCTGAGGTATTCTCTGCCTGTAAGCAGCTGTAACCTTGAGGTTCTCACTATTGCATCATCATCACCAAAAATTTGCTGGTTCTGCCACCGAGTCTGGTTTGTAAGTTCGAGTATGGATCCCTGACTTAAGCCTGAGGCAACTCACAGAAGGGCAGGGAAGACCACCTCAGATATCAAATGATCCTGCTACCACAAATCATCTCTACAGCACAATTTTATTTTCCTGAATGCTGTAATTTGTTATCCAAAGCACTGTAGTAAATGTGATAAATAACAGTCCTTGATGATTTTAAATATCAGTTTGCAATTTCACTGCCAAAGTAAAACTTTCTGTCCTTGGTCCTGTACAATTTAAAATAGCTATGGTTTAAAAGAAAGGCTGCTCTTAATTCCAAAATGGTGGACCAGAGAAATTTCATCAATATATACTAGAAAGGGATGGAATCCCTTTGTTAAATGATAAGCCTTTACTTTATGATGGAAGATGTTTTATTAAAATATTAGTAGATAATTGGTGATACTCAAGGTATTCTGGATACCTGACTGAATCACTAATCCATGAATCTAAATCCCACAGCAGTCGTTGGGGATTCAAATACAGTAATTAATTAATTGAGTAATTCTGGAATAAAAAGCTAGTATAACAAATAGTAAACGTAAAACTAGCAGATTGTCATTAATATCCTTCAGGGACAAAAATCTGCCATTGTTATCCAGTCTGGCCTACCAGTAACTCCAGACACACAATAATGCGATTCTTAACCACCCTGTAAAATAATTGAGCAAGCAGTTGTATAGGGATGATTGAGGGAAATCTTGACAGATTTCATCAAATGAAAACAAATTTCCAAATGTTGTCAAATTTCAAATAGATAGCTGTTATATGACAGAGAAGCTGAAAATTACAAGCTATTTTCTCACCACAATAGTCTTTTTCAGCTTGAGAAAAAAGTTTAAAACATCAGATTCAAAACATCTCCAGGAACCTTCAATCCCCTTCAGTTTTGTGTGAGCTTTTGCCAGTATACTTATGGGATTTCCAATCGAGGGACCAGGAGGCAGGTTTCTATCCCTCCATCCCACAAAGCTCAAGTGGAGGCATAGCAATAGGGCTAACAGTGAGTGAATCAAACAGTCCTGAATCTGTCTATATTTTTTGGGTTTTGGTTATTCAGTGAGTGTGGATTTGGTGAGATCCCTCCACATGCAACCAATGACAGCAAGGATTTTGATTTGCACAAACTAGATTTTAAAAGAAAGAATCTTTCTGCACAATTGAATCCCAACCTCTTTACCTTATGCAATGTTGTACAAATTCTAGTAATGTATAAATCAGCTACAATAAAGGTATTGATGATCTAAGAATTGTTAAAGACATCGAATGTTTTTTAAAAAATTGCTAAAAACTCTGTTGATTCATAGAAAGAGGTTTGCAGGGGACCGAAGATTCATAAAATTCCCATGTGGCCTTTCTGCTGACCCCTGCCTAGTCCCAATATGTCTGCAAATTCAGATGGACTTGGAGGCCTTGGGGAGGTGGGGTTTTGCCTACCCTCACCCAATTGAGGCCTTTATTTGGAAGATTATTGTCTACTAATAGCCACTTCTCACCCAGCCTCAAGTTTCAGGTGGTGGAATGAGCTCAAGGGACAAAGCCCACAGGTCATTCTGCTCAGGAACTCTCCAATATTGGCCTCCCACAGGTATTCCTTCCCCCTACCAGCCTCTCAATTAAGGCCCCACCATGTTCTCACCATGTCACCTGCATCAGCTCCCCACCCAGCTGTGAGATCCCCCCAACCACACTTAATAGGTCCTGGACCTCAGGTCAGAATCTGAAGACTGCTTGTAGTTCCAGTCTTGGCCACTGCTCCTGCTGGAACTACAGCACCACCAGCCAATCAGATAAACCTGCAGCTCTTGAAACATTAAATGGCTGAGGGATGTAGCAATTGGCAGGAGTCCGTTCACTCTTAACTTTCTGGAATTTGCCCTGGCAATCCTGCTACCCAAAAAAATCCTGCCGCATAACTACATATCTGCCAAACACATCTGTTTTAGATTTTATTCATAAAAACAAAATATTGCAGATGCTGGAAATCTGAGATTTAATAAAAGTGTTGGAAAAACTCAGTAGCTCTGGCAGCACCTGCGGAGAGAGGAATAGGGTCAACGTTTCAAGTTGAATATGACTCTTCTTAGGATATACACAATGTATTATGCCGAATGCTCCTGAGCAAAGAGTACCTGAGCTCTTCTATTATTTAAAATGAATAGGGTGACTGAAGAGTTTTCCAATTACTATGCATACGTGTCTGACAGAATGGAAGTGTAACAATGCAGTCATGAAATGGAAATTCCAGAATTAATTCACACAATACAGCTTTTTACCAGCATTTACCAGTACATTTATGGAGTCAGAATGCTCATTGTGAGCATATAGCAACTGTCTGAAAGATCCCAGAATATTATTGAAACAGAAGTATCAGAATTTACATGAATCTAAGATATTGTATAAAAAATTGATTTAACTTCTCTGGAATTACCCATATAAACCCAACTTAAATTAAAAGATTAGGCTCTATTCAGGTACGAATCATCATTACATGCGGTATCAATAATGTTTGCCTATTCTGAGGTATCAGATATTTCACAAACACAATTATGCATCTAACTACGTTAAATGAGATAATATCAGACAGTTTAATAATTAAAGCACAATAACCTAGTACAAGATAAAACTGTAAAATTTACTCAATCCCAGTTCACCTTAGCATGCTACATTTATCATGGTAAATATCATGGACTATTTTTAAAAAAAGCAAATAAGATGGCAATCATCACCAATAAAACAATTCCTGTGAAAGTCTGTTCGATTATTTCACAATAAGAACAGATAACCACAGTCCAGGAACTCTTTAATGTCAATATCATGTCTTCTTTTAAGATACTGTTCTTCAGCAAATTGTCTTGAATCTCCTTCTCTCCTCCTCACTTGTTCATCAATTTTGTCTTTGTTGCATATCTCAGTGATGTTGGAAACATCGGGCTACTGTTGGATCCATTCCCCTTTCCTCTTTAAATAATCATTTTAATTTTCTCCTTTCTATATTCTCACATTCTCTTTTGCACTTGTCTTCTGTTCCAGAAGAATTACCTAATTTCACTATTAAATTAAAACTTCAGGTTTAAAAATGTCTTTGAAAATACAATTATGGCAGTATAATAATATGCTGTTCCAATTTATCATTATAGCTTTATCATAAAATTATCATTTTAAAATTCACATAAAATCATTAACACTTTAGATAAATGATATTCAAATTAACCGATAGGCTGCTGGGACTATATAATTGTTTAATTTGACTTAAAAGTCTCCATTGCGTTACTCAAGTAGTTATTCCAAAAATATGAGGAATTTTCGTTGTTAAGTTACAAATGGCAAAGGCAGTACTGTTTGTTTGAAATTGCATATGTAGCACTATGTTATCTGAGCAGCCAAATTGGCATTACTCAGTCTAGTTCTCATTGCAGTACAGCAATGTGGTGATAACAACCAGCTATCTACACTAGGCATGCTGTTGACTAGTGGAGCACTTTGTTGTCAAACACTCAATGCTGTAGTTTGTGGAACTCCTGTACTGTAATGAGGTTGGGACTGTATATTAATTAGTGACACATAACAGCCCTAGAGAAATACCACCGGCAATGTGTCCTCCCAAGTCACTGGCATCAATGGGCCATTGAATAAGTGCTAGTGTATGAATAATGCTTTAAGCCAGTTCTCCAATTACTCATGGAAAACATCTGCAAAATCAACAACAATAGACTGGATTGCTGAAAAGCATCTACCCCATCAAGTCCTGTTTTCACAAATTTCAGATGCCACTATTACAGAGGATGACAAAGAAAATGCTACAATAACACCCTAAAGCTCTCCGTGAAGACTGGCCGCAATAACATTAGTGATTTGCAGAATCCAGACCCGAAACATCAGCTTTCCTGCTCTTCTGATGCTGCTTGGCCTGCTGTGTTCATCCAGCTCTACACCTTGTTATCAATGATATGCAGGAGTTTGCTATAAATTGTTCAAAATGGAGACCACTCGATCATCAAGCAGAATCATGATTCAAGCTTCAATTTCTTAACAATGAGACAGAGCAGCAGAATCTAAAGACAAAAAGGGAAGCAATTTTTACATTCCAGATCCCACCACCTCATTGGAGACCCTGTTCCATGGGCCCAGAAACCTGCAGGCTAAGAGTTAGCCTGTTCAGTCACATAAAGAGCTGCAAAAAAAATTTACAATCTTGAGTAGATGTCATCCTTGAATTGAGGGCAGCCAAGAACAGCAAGCAGGACAATGTGGAAAGCTTTAACTTTTATTTGGTCTGTGTGTTTGATAAAGTGTGTTTAACATGTATTCTTTGCAAAATAGCAAGATTGTATAAAATGCAATTTGAATAACTCATTCACTTTATTGGACAGAGAGGAGTCACATTTAAAAACAGAAAGAACTGCGGATGCTGTAAATCAGGAACAAAAACAGAAGTTGCTGGAAAAGCTCAGCAGGTCTGGCAGCATCTGTGAAGGAAAAATCAGAGTTAACGTTTCGGGTCCGGTGACCCTTCCTCAGAAAACATTTGTCACATTTGTAGAGTTTATGGTAGATAATGAATTTAATATTTTTAAATTTTGCTTGTTCTCAGAAGCAAGTTTATTTTTCGGTGATTACAAAGTAACAAACAGTGCAGTTGAGAAAATAAATCAGAATTACTCCTACTTTTCCCCATGACTCATCTAGAAAGTGCTAACTTTTTCTGAAGTACATTTCTGCTGGTCTCTGAAACTTCTGCTTAGAATTTAAATTCCTAACATGCTGACAGCAAGGATGTCCATTGGCCTTTTAACCAAGCCAGTGTGTCACTTTTCGTATTCCAGCCAATTTATATGAGCCAGCTTAATGACAACCCACATGAGTCGATTTTAACTTCAATATTTAAAGAACCATGCCTACCATGCAATTTAATAGATTTTGGAGTTAGGAGCACAACAAAAGGAACTGGCTGAATTTAAACCAGATATTCAAAGGTTGTGCCTTGTTTCACCTCTTGTTTCATCTTGTGATGCCCCTTTGGATGAGATGCTAGTAGTGTAAAGGTCCACAGAAACATTTTCTTCCCCATTGCCAGTAGGAAAAGACTGCCAATGAAACAAAGGTGCAGGCTGGAAGTTGCCCATGTGTTGAGAAACACGAGCAGGATGCTTTACTCATGGATTCAATGACATAAGCAGGGCAGGAAAGATGGGAATGGCACATCACTAACATCCTGAAAGGTGTATCACATCAACCCTTTGCTCTGCTTTCTCAAATGTACTTCAGCAATTCACTCCTCACACTACTTTGAAGATCTACCTATCCCTCTCTGCCTATACACTTCCTCACATCCCCATCTATCTATCCACCACTGACACCATAATCTTTAAATGCAACGTCACTTTAGTCACTTTCAACAATTCATTTTTTTCAACACATGCTATTAGTATCTTCTTTTCCTCTTTGCAAAGGAAGCACAGATCAAAAGGGAGAGGTGCAGACTAGTGACAAGTTTGCAGCCATCTCTCAATTGACAGATCCAGAGGTGGCAACACTGGATATCAATTGAACTTTAATGTGTCCAGCTATTCAGGTTGGAGACCTCCTAGATAACTGGTTACAGAATTAAATATTTCACAACCATGTGGGAAACCAACTCATTCATGTTGACTTGATGTGAGGTAATTAGCCATTGTCCACAAATGCCCGCAAGTATCTCTCTCCATTACAGAGAGATTATAGGCTACATATAGCTTGAGTGACAATACTCCATAAGGATGGGGCAAAGTGAAAGGGTGGCAGGCCTTCATTATAGAGTCATAGAGTCATACAGCATGGAAACAGGCCCTTTGGCTCAACTTGTTAAACTCAAACTGAGCATAATTGAGCAGGTGCTGCTGTTTAAATGTCGCTTGATAGCACTGCTAACAACATTTTCAATCATTTTGCTGATGATTGAGGGGAAGTAATTGGCCATATTGGATCTGTCCTGCTTTTTTGTGGACAGGACATGCGAGGCAGTTTTCTATATTGTCAGTCCTGAACTTTACCTTACCCTGAACAATTTGGTTTGGGGTGCAGTTGTCCTGGATCAGAAGTCTTCAATACTGTTGCTGAAATGTTGTCAGAGCCCAGACTGTTTCCAAAATCAAGTGCCTTCAGCCATTCTTGATATCATGTGTGGAAAGTGTCATAGGTTGAACCTATAGATTGGCTTTTATTATAGGGACTTCAATGCGTCAATTGCATGGAACTGAACAGTGTACAGAACTGAACAGTGTACAGAACCAGAACTATCACTGTTGGCTTGCTAATTTTGAATGCTAGTTTAAACAGGTTGAATGATATTCTAAGAGATAGCAAGAACTGCAGATGCTGAAGTCAGAGATAACACAGTGTGGAGCTGGAGGAACACAGCAGGCCAGGCAGCATCAGAGGAGCAGGAAAGTTGACGTTTCGGGTCAGAACCCTTCTTCATAAAGTTCCTTCAGCTCCACACTGTGTTATCTATGCATGATATTCTAGCCTTGGATAAACATCACCCTAATGATCTGCAGCAAAGTGCTCTCCAACTCAATGCCAGTGGGGAAATGTGGATGTGCCAAGAAAAAGACGATAGGTGATGGGCCCTTGCAATAGGTGAATGCTCCAGACTGATACTGGGGTAAATTAACTACCACATCCATGCAGTAAATAATCTACTGCACCTGTGTAAATTCAGTCAGGATCTCAAATCCAAGCACTTGCCCCTTCCGTCTGGCAACATAATGGGCAATGTTGACATAAATGCCTGCCCTAGCAAACAAATCATCAGTCACCAGCATTGTGCATTTATGGGTTGCTGACCATGAACGTCTCCAGCATGGCCTTGGAAGAATTAAGAGGCAAACAAAGAAGGTTTTAGTGATTTTTGACAGTCTCTGGTAAACAGTGATCAGCAGGTCCACTTGCCAGCAGATAAAGTTCCAGCAGGCTCAAATGTTGGCCACTATATTATACAACACATTCAGCCACCTGAGACAACACAGTTTGGAGCTGGAGGAACACAGCAGGCCAGGCAGCATCAGAGGAGCAGAAAAGCTGACATTTCAGGTCAGGACCCTTCTTCAGAAAAATTTCATTCCACTTTGTGAAAAAGGGTCCCGACCCAAAACATCAACTTTCCTGCTCCTCTGGCTCCACACTGTGTTGTCTCTGACTCCAGCATCTGCAGTTCTTGCTATCTCCCAGCCACCTGAGACACTATTGTTTTGACATGGTGGAAGTTGAAACTCTACCTGTGGACCATGTGGTGATGGGTATGTACTTCTGTGAGTTGAATCTTTCTGCTCATAACCTTGCTCCTGTGGAGCTGCAGGTCTGTGAGAAACAGGCTAATGCTATTTCTGATGCTGCTGATCATCTTGGTCCTCATCTGAGATAAAACGTAATGCAGTATAAAGGGCATCCATGCTGATTTGATAGCACAGAGATTCAAAAGTAAGACTCAGATAAACAAACCTCTGAAGTTGTCAAAGTTGCATCTCAACACAAATACTGTCTAAGAAAACAGGCAGGAAATCAGCTATAAGATTTCAAGGCAGATTTTCCTGTCATCAGTTCAGTCCCTTGATTGCTGATATGTATTCACCTACTTTCACTTGCAAATTCCAAGTAGTTTAGGAAACACTTGAGATTGACAGCAAAATTGAAAAAGCAATGTTAATTACACTGAAATTGAGTGATTAACATATTGAAATTGTCAACTGTCCCAAGATGGTTGTTCACATGCAGCCTATCATGTTGCAGTGAAATGTGGAAGTCAACGTGTTGGAGATGGGTTACATTCGTCCATTTGCTGGGAATGAATACAAAATGCCACTAAATAAAATTTGGTTTATATCTGTAATGTGGCTTCTATTACCTTATCATGGGTATTACAATTCAGCTTGGTTTTGTCTTCATCTTCTCCACAGACACTTTTAGGATAAAGTAACTCAATGGTCATGGTAGTCCAGCTGGAAACCAAGCGTAAAGTGTAGTGATTGTAACAAGATCAGCCAGGTGAACCTCAGAATATGAGTTCCCTGATTAGAGCTGTCAATCTGGTCCAATTAGGGAACTCTGGCTAATAGATATAAACAGGCATGCCTGACGTTCTGTTCAGCTGGCTCTGAAGGAGCTAAATTAGTGGCAAGGACTCTTTACATGTAAATAATGGGTGAGTTGGTGATGGGATACCAGCCTTTGTGGAGTTATTTCAATGGAGACCAGAGAAAAGCATGCTCCTGAAGAAATTCACTCGCAACAGTTATCTTTGAGATGGGGTAAGCATTTCTAGCATCATGCCGTTATTTGAGAAGCTTGACTCGTTCGATCCTGATGTTGAAGATTGGGCCCAGAATGTGCAGAGAATGTTATTTTTCTGGGCAAATGGTATTGGGACAGATGACAAGCAACAAGTAATTTTCCTGACAGCTTGTGGACCTGCACCTTTTACAGTTATTAGGAGCCTAACTTTCCCTGATGCACCGTTCAAGAGCTGATTGATTTATTTAAGGAATACTACAACCCCACCATCCCCTAATTCTGAGACACTGTCAGTTTTACTCAGCAATTTGAGAACCAGGGGAATCTGTATTGGGATTTTTGACTAGGTTAAGATGATTGACAGAGGCATGTGACTTTGATTTAACCCTTCTGAGATGCCGAGAGACTGTTTGGTATGTGGGATTAATGATGTAACCATGCAAAAGTGCCTACTAGCTGAAGCCCAACTGGACTGCAAACAGCTACTACAACTGACTTTGTCATTAGAAAATGGAGCATATGAGCTGCAGAGTATTCTGATGGAATTGAACACCCTTGCTAGCCCGAATGAGTTTCGGGAACACCACTTAATTAAAGACAATTGCATAGCCTCACTCAGGATATATCCTGAACAGAGGGACTCTAGGTCAGCCCGAAGCAAAATCCCAAAACTAAACCAAGCCTTGGCCAAATGGTTGAAATTATCTTCAGGATCCAAGCCAGCAAGCTATTATAGTTTGCTTACTGGCAGCAACTCGAGACAGCAAAAGTGTCCCAATGACCTAAGCTGAGTAAGAGAATTCATAGGTTGGTATCCAGGAGAGTGCACACCATGGAAAACCCACATATACCTGGTTTCGAACAGTTAAATTGCTTAGCAACATCCAATCAAAATAAAATATCTAGTTAAATGGTCACCTGATTCTAATGGAGATCAATACCGGCATGGCCGTTTCAGTGATGGCAGAACCAGACTTCAACAAAATTCACACTGAACTCTAAATTTTAAGTTTGCACAAGACCTCAGCTCAACTGAGGACCTTTCCTGGGGAACCTTTACAGAATAAGGGTACAACTTTGGCTTTGGTGTCTTATGAGAAACAGCTGGGTCAGTCACCATTGATTCTAGTAAAAGGCTTGGGCCCAAGCCTGATGGGGCGAAATTGGTTGAGAAAGATTCACCTGGATTGGCTCAACATCTTTTGATTAGAAAATGGCTGCCTGAGTGAAATCCTAATTAAATATCCAGAGTTTTTCAGGAAGGTCTAGGAACTCTCAAAAGGCCAAGGCCACCTTGCATATTGACCAGGAAGCAATTCCGTGATCCTGCCAGGCCCAGCCAGTGTCATTTGCCTTACAGGCAGGAATCAGAAGGCTGGAAAGCAAAGGAATCATCAAACCAGTCCTGTTTGCGGAATGGGCAGCACCAGTCGTGCCAACTGTGAAGCCCAACAGGTTCTTTCACCTTTGTGGGGATTTTAGACAAATAGTGAATCGCTTTACCCAGCTGGATGAATACCCAATCCCTCACATTGAGGATTTACACACAAAGCTGGCAGGGGGCTGTCCTTCACAAAGCTGGATATGAGCCATGTGTAGTTGCAATTGCAGTTGGAAGAGGATTCCCAGAAGAATGCCACAATTAATACCCATAAGAGTTTGTACTAATATACAAGACTGCTGATTAGGGTATCATCAGCCTGTGCAATTTTTCAGCAGACAATGGAGAACATTTTACAAGGTCTACCCCAGGTCACCATTTATCTAGATGACAAGCTAATAACAGGGGAGACCAATAGGGAGCGCTTAGAGAACTTGAACATAGTCCTTAGATGTTTCTCTCAGGCAGGCATTTGTCTTTGAAGGGAAAAATGTGTGTTCCAGGCACCCTAAGTGACTTACATGGGCTATAGAGTCGACAAGACTGGGTTATTTACACCCATTAGAAGATAAAGTGAGGGCAATGAAAGGTGCTCCAGTTCCCACATCAGTACTGGGGCTTGGGTCTTTCCTTGGGCTGGTGAACTATTACGGAAAGTTCATACATAACCTGGTCTCCATCCTAGCACCTTTGCATCAACTCTTTAAAAAAAAAGGTCAGCCTTGGAAATGGTTGCATAGCTAAGCCATATAGCCTTCAGGGAAGTGAAACAGCTATCATGCTCTAAGGAGTTTGCACACTCTGATCCCAAGTGAGCTCTGGTATTGACATGCGATGCCTCCCCGTATGGCATTGGGCTTGTAATAACTCATTGGTGGCCTGATTGAGAGGAACACCCAACAGTGTATATGTCCTGGACTTTGGCAAATGCAGAGCATAAATACACCCAGATAGTAAAGGAAAGTTTGGCAGTAAGGAAGCTCCTCCAATACCTGTACCGACTTAAATTTGTAATATTAATGCAGCAATAATCCCTGCTATGTCTACTTAAAGAAGACAAGGCGATGGGCTCTAATACCAAGTGGGTATAATTACAAGTTGGAAGACTGTCTGGGGATGAAGTTTGGTATAGGAATCATGGGAACGGCCCTGCATGTTAACAGGCATGGTCGATGCAAGGTCAGGTCCAGTGACATATTAAGTTCATGCAGACGTGACGGTCCTAAACAGGCATGTGGACCATACAACAGCAGCTATAAACTCTCAAATGGTGTGGGAACAAAATGGGCCCAGTTTCTTGACTGCCTTTCCAACTGTTCCGAAACCCTTTCTGTCAAGCGTTGAAGATACCTCGGAATCTGAGTTAGATACGGCAGATGTCACCACCGATGCCTTTGCCACCTGAACAGCAGAATGCATTTCTTCCAAGATGCTCCAGGTGCAAGAGGCAAGCTACTGTGCGTTACACACACCCCGTATCCAAGGTAAAGTTGGAGGAACCTGACCCAGTGCTAAAACACCTCAGGAGGAGGTACAAAAAAAAAGAACCAATGTATGTTCTTGGACTCAGAGGGGACGGGATGTAGTGATGTAACAAGGTCAGCCAAGTGGCCCTCATAGAATGAGTTCCCTGATTGGACCAGATTAACAGTCCCAATCAGGGAGTGCTCGCTGACAGATATAAACAGGACTGTCAGAGGTTTTGTTCGCTGAAAGCTGGCTTTGAGGGAGCTGGATCAGTGCCAAGGACTCTCCAAGGGTGACTTGGTGGATACTGGCCCACATGAAGTTATTTCATAAAGCTTCACTACAATGGAGTCAAGGTTGACTCAGGGTTGACTGGAGTCTCAAACAAGTAATTTCAAATAGCAGCATTTCTTGGCAGAGATGTAGCCATTCCAAAGTCATGTGGATGACTACAGCCGCCAGCTGCAGTTTAGACTGGAGATGTTCAGCAGGTGAAGACCCTGTAATGCAACAGCTTTAACTGATCTAAAATGGCTCTGTAACAGGCATATGATTAAATATTCCAACCTCATGATGGTGAAGCCATATACTCAATTCTAAAAGGAGTACCACAAACAAGAGACTTCTGCTTCTCATTTAGAAAGAAATGCAATTGCACCATTAATTAATGCATAGCAGCATTAGTCAAAAATTCTAGAAATCTCTTAGTTCAAACTGATGTAACTTCAGGTTTCTTCAGAAAATCAAAAAGGTTGATTTGGATTATGGCTTTGGATTTATTTCTGTCTCTGAATACAATGTTTATGTCCTAACAGGAGGTGTAAGATAGAAATACACTAACTGTCACTAAATATTTAGATGTGCACTTGCAACGCTAAGGCTTACAAGGCTATGGGCCAAGTGCTGGAAAATGGGATCAGAATAGTTAGGTGGCTGTTTCTGACCAGTGCAATGGGCTGAAGGGCTTTTTTTTTTCTGTGATAGACCTCTAAATTCCTGATATTTCTCACCTTGCTTTCAGGGATCTGGAGGTGTTCCTTGAATCACTTGACGTATCTTTTCTGCATCATCTTGTATTGTCTTGTTGCTTGGGTCAATTTTGAGAGCAGCTTCATAATCCTGAAGGCCTACCAGACCATAAATTAAATAATCCCTTGAATAAATCGAATTTGCTGTGATGTGAATGTGAACCATAAAATTCAACTTGAATTCCTGGAATGTACTGATCTGCATGATCTCAATGGAGGAGGCAGTGGCAAAATATAATTGGCTTCAGTGTCCCTAGACTGTGAACAGGAAAATATATCAGAATTCTAAATCACGAATAGCAAGCAGTTCCAAATTTTGCATATTTGCTGGGTGTCTCTCTCTTCACCTCCAATGATGGCAAGGTGAAGTTTGGTTAGAACATATGCCAAAAGAGTTTGCCAATACTGACAGCCATACAACTAAGTCCCAGAGATCCATGTTCCCACATAACTTTGTAAAGGTTTAGATAGGCAGGTTGAGTTGGGAAAAGATGAAGTTTTATCTCCTCACTCCTTGTGACATCGGGGATATAAAGGCATGGTGGCACAGTGGTTAGCACTGCCACCTCACAGCGCCAGGCCAGGGTTCAATCCCAGTCTTGGACGACTATGTGCAGTTTGCACACTCTCCCATGTCGGTATGGATTTCCTCTAGGTGCTATCGTTTCCTCCAACAGTCCAAAGATATGCAGTTAGATGGACTGGCTATGCTAAATTGCCCATAGTGTGCAGGCTAGGAGGGTTAATTGTGGTAAATGTGGGGTTACAGAGATAGGCTGGGATGCTCTTTGGAGGGTCGGTGCAGACTTAATGGCCCAAATAGCCTCTACCTGCAGCACAGGGATTCTATAATTCTATAAATGACCTGAAAAGGTGAGAAAAGAGACAGATGTGGACAGAGAGAAGCAGAAGGAAATAGCTATGTGTTATTGTTTTGCTAACTGTAGTTAAAATTTATTACTAAACACACACTGTTCTGTATGTTGCCATGCCTGAAGTTTGTTCTAATTAACTTAAGAGTCTATTAGCTGGTGCAGTACATGGATATTATAGTATTAAGGAAAGAATGAGAAAGAGGAAAAAGTTGAAAAAGGGAAAACTGCGTAGCCCTGTTTTAATTCCAATATCTGATATTTGCTAACTATATATTACTACATTTTTTCTGTGCATTTGAGGGATGTGTGTGTCGCTGACTTCACCAGCAATTATTGCTCACTCAGAGTTGTAGTTAAGAGCCAACTATGTTACCAAGGGTCTGGAGTCACATATGCCAGACCAGGTAAACAGGCAGATTTTCTTCTCTGAAGAACATCAGTGAACCAATTAGGTTTTATAACATTCATAATTTACAAACTGTAAAAAGGCTTGCTCACAATTCCATGTTTATAATGAATTTGAATTTCACCAACTGCCATAATAGGCTTTGAATCCATATCCCCAGAACAACAGTGAAACTTCTGGATTACAAGTCTAGTGAAATTACCACTATGCCACCACCTCCCCCAATTTCAGTGCAGAAAGTACTAGTGTTCTCTTACCTTCCACGTAGAGTTCCAGCTCACAAAGTGCCGCCCCTCTTCTAACATGGGCTTTTAGTCTGCTACTTGCATTGTCTGGAACAGCAGGAGTTAACAAATCAAGTGCCTAAAAGGAAAAAAACATTTGTTAAGCAAATAAAAAAGATTTAATATAGAAAGGGTTGTGGGTTACCTTTAAGGTTTCAAAAATGTGTGTAAAATATTCCAAGAGTGGAAAGAAACTTAAAGCATCGTGCACCAGCCTAGCAATCACAGCTTTTCCCACTCGGGCCACAGATTAAAATAGCAAATCAAGACATGGTGACAGGTATAGAATTTAATCTGTATATATTTAAAAAGAACACTGTCAGTCATTTTGGTTGGACACTCTTGCAACCTTCAATTTAGTGAGTTGCTCTGGCAGAAGTGATGGAAAGAGTCAGTCCCCGTTTATCCTCTGAGACAGGAAGCAATGCGTTCCACGAAAGAGAATAAAAATGATGTGGGACAAATAATCAAGCAGAAAAATGTACCAATATCTTAACAACAAATGTATAATTTCATATTGTTCTGTAACAGTTGGAACTTTATGGTTTACCTTCATTTTGTAACTGACCATCATTCAAAAAGTGACTTAACACAGAAAGGTTCTTAAATGTGCACACAAACCGAATTACGGTTAATTTTTCTTTATTCAATTAATCAGAATTAACTAATTTCCTAGAAACTGCACGTAAACTAACCTTGGAGGAGTCTTCAATGGCTTTGTGTAAATTTCTTAGTTTAAGGTGGCTTGCAGCCCTGTTCAGGTATAGGGCTGGAAGTTTATTATTCAATTGTATTCCCAAGTTATAAGCATTAATTGCTGCAAGATAATCTCCTGATGCAAATAGTTTGCTGAAAGAGAAAAATAATATTTGAACAACTATGATAACCTGATTTGAAGTTTATTACAGGGAAGTTAATGAGGCCTTTGTAGCTGACAATGTACTGACTGCCACAAATGAAGATCACTTACTACAGTTAGTCATTACTTAGTTATCAACAATATGTAATAGATTCCAGAATTTCTTTCAGAGGATACACAGAAAAGGCAAATCATTGCATTAATTTTCCAAGCGTCACATAATTATGTGAGAGACCAAACAGTTCCTGTTCATAAATCATTTGATTATGGACAGCTACATAGCTGAGGCATCACTGACTTTGCCTAACAGAGATGCATGCTTCTTTTTCAAAGGACAATATAGTTAATTGTAATGTTCAAATTCTGAGTGGAAAGTAGTTCCAACCAACTAGATAGCAGATAGAAAGGCAAATATTCTCACAGATCATAGAAAACTTACAGAAAAAAAAAAAGAACAGTATACATTTTGAATACTGCAGGATGGAATTTTTAACTAGTTAGTAGTACTCTTGCTTCTGAGATAAGAAGGCTGTAGGTTCAAGGCCTACTCCAGAATCTTGAGCACTAAGCTTAGGTTGACACAGCAGTGCAATACGAGGGAGTGCTGCATACGAGGTCCCAACTGTCCTATTAAAGTTCTGAAGTTACTGATTGAAGAAGAGTAAGAGAGGTCTGCCTAGTGTTCCATTTGTATAAGAGCGGCACAGTGGCTCAGTGGTTAGCACTGCTGCCTCAAAGCGCCAAGGACCCAGGTTCCATTCCAGCCTCGGGCCACTGTCCATGTGGAGTTTTCACAGTGTCAGCGTGGGTTTCTTCCGGGTGCTCCAGTTTCCTCCCACAGTCCAAAGATAAGCAGATTAGGTGGAATGACCATGCTAAATTACCCATAGTGTCCACAGATGTGCAGGCTAGGTGGGTTAGCCATGCGAAATGTGGGGTTAAAGCATGGGGGTGGGGTGAGTCTGTGGGATGCTCTTCAGAGGGCCAATGTGGACTTGACGGGCCGAATGGCCTGTTTCCACACTGTAGGGATTCTATGATCCCTAACTAATAGCACTAAAACAGATAATCTAATCATTATCAAATTGTGCAAATTTGCTGAAAGCAAAATTAGCTGCTGCATTTCCTACATTACAACAGTGACCACACTCTCAAACCACATAATTGGCTTTAAAGTGCCCTGAAACATTCCAAAGATATGAAAGACATTATATAATTGGAAGTCTTTTGTGGAGCAGAATCAGGCACTGAAAGACATGGGCATTGGCAAGAAGGTTGGGAAAATTGTGTTAGATTAGCAGTGAGGCCCTTCTTGACATCAATAGCAACCAAATCCCAATTTCCAACTAAGTGCTGAACAGCGAAATTGGCTTCTTAATAGTGAGCAGCAAGAGGCCTATTTGCACACATTTGCATACATCAACATTTCATTATTAGCTCATCTCACCACATTTCTTTACAGTTTCCCATTCAGCTACCCAGAGGATTGAAACTAGATGGGGAGAATTCCTGACATGAAAGTCAGGACAATTACCTGGTGACTTCATTTCATTGCTTGCTCCTCCAAACCTCTACCTTGGACACCATTCACCAACATTTCAGGGCACACCCTATTAGCAGCAACACACCATCCCACCGCAGATGTTGGCATTGGACATGTACCAGCTTCACTATACTTCCTCGGGGATTGATTAGCTCAGACAGCTGGCTTGTGATGCAGAGAGGTGCCAACAATGTGGGTTCAATTCCCATACTAGTCGAGGTTACCATGAAAAACTCTCCTTTTCAGCCTCGCCCAAGACATTGTGACGCCCAGGTTAAACCACTGCCAGTTGTCTCTCTCTAATGACAGCAACCCTACTGTCCTCTGGGACAACGGCAACTTTACCTTTACATTCCTTCAGCTCAGTGAAAGTCAGGGTTCACTTCTGTGATAGGAAGTTTGAAGAAGCCTGGGGATTGGAGGCAGCATTCCAGGATGCAGAGGGGACAATAATGTGAAGGCAGAAACTCCTATGCAAGGTGGGTGTGAAATAATAGTGCGTAGGAGGATTTGAGATACTACAGGAGGGGAGGGGTGTTGTGACGGTGTTTTCAATTTTTTTGTATTCCACACACAGGTGCAGTGGAAGCGTGACCAATGAATTTAACCACAGCAAGGGTTATTGTTGCTGTTGCCGGGATGCAATGAAAACTCAGAAATGGTGAAGAAACAGATGGCATTAAACCCAGGACCAGCAGCAACCTCCTGCGGGTACAGAACAGCCTCCACCTAAAGAGGTTGCGGTTGAAGGTCCCCTCAGAAGATTCAGGAGGCCCAGAGTCTATCGTCCTTGATACTATCACTCCAGACGAGTGAGGCACAGTGTCGCCGCAGACTGAAGATGTCACCAGGCACTGAAACAGAACTGTGCCAGTTGCTAAACTAGAACCTTTGAGAAAGAGCTGGGAAGATGAAGATAGGTGGTTACCCTATCCTGGTGGTTGTCAAAGTGACATCTGTGCTAAACTTTCATGCAACTGATTGCTTCCAAGAAGCCACTGGGGACTTGTGTGGATTCTCACAATCCTCAAATGTATTAAGGCTGCTATTGAAGCGATTTGTGCCAGATCACACTACTTCATCTTATTTCCTACGATGAGGTCAGTGCTACAGCCCAGGCAATAAGCTTTGGCAACATAGCTGGCATCCCCCATTTTCAGGGCACAATAAAACTGCACACGTCACGTTGAGAGCACCAGGTCATAATATAGCTGACTTCAGTAATCTGTGTTCATTGGTACCATATTTTAGAGGTCTGCGCCAGGTTCCCCAATGAGCTGCTACAATGCTTATACTCTTGATAACTCTCATGTTCCTGCTTCATTTCAAGGTCCAGATGCCTTACAAGTATGATTACTGGGAGACCAGAGCAAACATTTGTGACCTTGGCTGATGACTCCATTAAGCAACTCCTTAACTAAAATTGGGCATCAATACAATGCAGTCCATTCTTCTATCTGGGCCATGATGAAGCAGACAAAAGACTTCCAGAGGATGTTTGGATCAGTGTTGAGAAGCCTTGTAGTTCACTCAGAGTATGTCATATTATTTTAGCATGCTATCTTCTGTACAATTGGAGCAAGCAACAAGGGGATGAGATGGACTCTGAAGAGCTGGAATACTATCAGTAGTCATCTGAGGAGGAAGATGGTGACATAATGCAGGAGGAATATCGGCTTCTGCAAGATCGAGCACTGAAGCATCAAGTGAACTAAGCCAGACAGGACTTAATTAACACCCTGTTCCAATAATTGAGAGCTGGTTACAGCGATCACTCATTGACTGTAGTGTGTTGCTCCTTCAAAGGTGAGCAGTCCCTGACAGTTCCCAGGGGCAAATGCAGCTTCTGCTTGTTTCATTGCTCGCTTTTACGATTGCTGAATAAAAGTGAATGGTTTGAACCTTTTGAAGGCTTTCCTGTATGTGATGGAACCACATCGAACAATTATCAGATGTTAGGGCACAAAGGTCATTGGGGAAAGAGTAGCACTGCCTAAGACAGGGCAGTAAAATAGAATGAAACTAAGAACAGATAAGCTGTGCAGCTTTTTCTTAAATAGCAATAGATGTTTGAATACACACTTGTATGCGCAATGAAGTATCAGCTGTACCATCTGTGTTCAGAAAGCATTTCTTTTGCTTGCCCTCCCACTGCATGCATAGTGAACAGTGGCTCTGAATTGCCAGAACTTGGCTGAGTGCATGGCTGGGCTTTAAAGATGGCATCAGTAACAGGAATCTTGGGACGTCCAGCATGGGTAAGGACTTCTACCTATGACCAGTAGAAGAATATAACAAGCAGAAAACCATAGGGATCTGGTGCAAAGATAACGAGGCAGTTTGGGAAGATAGCATGAGAAAAATGGCCAGATCTTGTGGAGGTCACCGTGACACTCACCAAAATTGATACTTAGGCAATTCTGGGAAGATTCAGCACATTATATCACAGTTTTTCCAAGCATCAAGTTCAGCAGAAATCACTGAAAGGCTTCAGCAACAGTCCAAATGGAGATGGATCAGTCATTGAATGGGTGGGCAAGTTGGTCTCAATCAGTATGTCTTCACTAATGTACTGGCTATTTTCTCTGATGGCTAAAATAATGTTTAAGTGAATACAATGATGAGAAGGGTCTTTTTTTTATCCTCAAATCACCTTCCTATCTAATTGACTAACACTTTCCTGGAGAATTGCAGAAATAGTTCAAATAAAGTATTTCCTCAGAGATGGTGAGATTGTAAAATTCTCTGTCACAAACCTCTGTCGAAACAATAGTCAAGTACATCTTCTGAGTGGCATTTATTCAAGTGAATGTCACAATGTTATTTGTCAAGACATTTTGGCTGAATCATATGAGCGCTTTCATTTTCTGTCCATGTCGCTTTTCTTTGAACCATTCTTTTCTTTCTCAGCATCTACCTTAATTCTTGCTTAAAAGCACTTATATGCTCAACAGCAGTTGTTTCAACAACAGCTTGTGAAAGAGAATTCCACATCTAACCAATTCCTTTTGTGTCTTCATCCAATCTTTATGCATATACATGTCTGGCAAGAATT